AAAACTTCTCTGAGATTGGACAAAACTCCAGGAATGAACAAACAAAAGACCTGAATCCCAGCATTGCCTTCAACCAGGAGGGGAGAGGATACAAACTATTTATCATCTAAGCTATCTGCTTTAATTGTTCCACCTTCTTAAAATCGGGGATATGGAAATTCTTTTCTACCTCCCACGCAATTTGAGACATACAATTGAAAGATGATTTTGCACCCTTCTCATCCGTAACTTCTCTTGGAAAAGGAATGCGGACATCGAATATACTACTCGGAGGGGAATGGATGCGCACATCAAAGCCTAACCGGTCAACCCATATCATTTTCGCCTCAGACACCTGCAAACATGTACGAATCCCTTGAGACAACACCATGAAGAAAGATGCACATGTAATGCAATGACACCAAGAAGTAAGATCGTTACAGGCTGAATGCATAGCATCACTCAGTCATGCAGACATTAAGGCCAAATGCATCAGGCTCAAAGTGCTTAATGCCATCTTATTCTTCTTCCTCATACGATTGTCAGTAATAACAGTTGAGATCCATTTTCTCTAAATGGCCAATCGAGCCAGATAGGACTGCCATTATTCTTCAAAATAAATCAAACAATTATTCATTTGTCAAAGGCCTCTGCATAGTATGAGAACTTAAAGAGCCACTTATCTTTTCACTAGCCTTTAGTTTTGAATAAGACTTGAAATATTCAATGTATGCAATTCCAATTGAACAGTTCTGATATAAAGTTCAAGATAGCAAAGTGAAAATAATGCGTACCTGGAAGTCCAAATCAACATACACATTGCAAAAGCGATAAACATCTTCCATGTTATTGGTGTTTATCTCAGTGACAATCTTTTCAGCAAAGTCTCGAAGTGGATCAGGGGCTGCACTTTTATAATCAGATAAGGTGACCCATATGCCATCCTGACATAGTGCCCCACATCAGACAAGTGCACAATACGTTTTAATATCAGAAAGGTTGCCATTGCTCTACTGCAGATTAAAAAGACTGACAAAAAAGGAAACCAGGACAGAATATGCAGAAAGACAAATTTAGCATACCTCCTTAAAGTCTTCAATCTGAAGTACCTTTTCCACATCTATGTAATACAATTGGTCTTCCTCAGCTTCCGATCCAAATCTCTTTGTCCACGCTGAAAGAAGCCGCTGAAGGAAAGTGTTCATTGTCACCCATACGAGAATGCACGTAGTAAACTCAGATTATTACTCATGTGCTCCCATATAGTGAAAAATATTTAAACTTTAACGACGACAAATGAGTCTCTATAGCCCCTATTGTCAGGTGATAGTATCAATTATCAAGCGTGAAAGCTAGACTAACCTAATGTAGATATTCAAATCCAAAGCACTCTCCGAAATGTTAAAACGTCACAAGGGTATCCATGTCAGCTACAACAGCTACAGAAAACAATTGCAAGCACTTCAAGACTCCTCCATACTGATAATTTTAACTCTTCCAATCAGTGGAGAATGTCTGTTTCCCAGATAACAGAAGGCTATCCAAGGACAATGTTTTACTTTTTCATTTTCCACATTCGAAAAGTAAAGAAAAATTCACTATGAGGCACCGAGGGCTGCCAACCCATTTACTGAAGGAACTAAAATCCATGAGAGCAGCTATACCAGATAAATACCTTTTCAATGCTCATGGATACTTAAATTTCGATTCTACCCAGTATCCATGAAAAATTAGAAGACTAGAAGCACTAATCATGCCTTTCTCTGTAATCTACATGCTTGCAGATTTAATTGCCATAATATGATCACGTGTCAGTTTGAACTCAACAATCCAGGTCACAAACACAACTAGTTTGTAAACGAGAAAATTCGTCTCAAATGAGAGGATGGTGGGAGAATCATCTAAATATTTGAATGGATTTGGATCCTACCCATAATCAAAGCTCTAGGTTACCCATTATGAGCATGGAATCTGTGGATAGCCAAAATATCGGCAAATTATACAGCAACTGGCAAAAGAGCCTCACTTCTGCTACCTTGCTGTTGTAGGTCTCTTGATCAGCTCTTCTTACATCTCATAAAAGTAGAACTGGGCTTTGAGCGTTATGATGCATGAATGTTCTTAAAGTAATTTTATTCAATGACTTATGTACTCTATCATGCCCACCAAACAGAAAAGAAGAATAAAGATTCAGTCTTGGACTCTAGAACTGTTAGAAACATCTTTTGTTTGAAGGTTCTGAAAAATGAAAAAGGAAAAAAGAATCTGTCAAGAGATATGGTTTTATGAAATGAGGTTTCTTATTAAGCATGGCTCCACATGATTAAATTTGATTTCAAGACAATGAATTGCTAAATTATTTGTGCTCTGCCCTGTGTCAGAAATTATTTTCTCCCAAGCCACTGCTAATATTTATTGGAAAAATAAACAGACATAACTTGCCCAACACTCTGATACAAAATTCAGTGGGTAGAAAACATATATGCATCTCTCTATTGATGGGCATAGCTGTTTCATCTCCATATCTTTTTTTTCCAAGGTCAGCATAGATGAGCCTTGAGGATGTCGGAGTGGTCTTAAGGGAGGAGTATAAACAGAATCATACTGGAACGAGAGTTATATAAAGCTTGATCTGTATGTTATTCGCCCAAATGATTGTTAAGCTTCTCCTAGCTTCACCTTAAACACAATCTTTGCAGGTTTTTCTCAGATACTTTTCTTTATGTTGAGATTTTTTTAAATGAAAACGCTAAATAAAAGATTTTTATGCCGAGTTAGGAAACAAAAACACCATCACTCGTTCTCTCGAGAGGAAAGAAAGATAAAAGACATGATGAAGAGGAAGGCCCTACACCAACCGCCATTGCATCTTTTAAGACAATGTATAACCGAGAAATGGAATGTGTTAGTTTCATGTTGCTAGGCAAGGGCCAACATGAGAGGCTTCATATTTTTGAAACAGAATTTTATGGAGAAGCAAAGGATTCACAAAGCCGATCCTGAAAAAGTTTCAAAACTTCCACAACTAAGTGCTAAACCATTCATTTTTCAGGAATTGAACGTGTAACTACTAACTATCTCACACTCATTGTTTGAGGAGTTTCAATAAATAGGGAAAGAGGACCAGGCAAGCCTATAGATAACCCAAAGATGAGGGAAGCCATTATAAGCAAAAGACGAGGGATACCATTCAAGTATGGCTTCTGCAAACAAAAGGGTAGCAAGAGTAGCAAATTAAATCCAAGAAAATAGAAATAATAAAAACCACGATTACATCATCGCAGTAATGTACATCTACCTCACTCAAAAGCACAATTCATGAACTAAATGCAAAGGTTAGCTGAGAGCTCTAGGCAGCTCCTGTGCTCATAACAATGCGACACTTTTTCCATGTTACGAGAGCATGTAAGAAAATTAACTCCGCTGACAACAAAAGGGCATTACCTTTGAAAACATTCTATCTCCAGGTTTAGCAAGACTGCCCTGAATTGTGCACTGCGGAGTCCGTAACCCACACTGCTTCAACTGATTCAATAATCACCAAAAAAACCAAATTTCTCCCGATCAGATAACAAAAACATAAAGAGGAAATACCAACAGCTTCATTATTTCAAGCGCACGTAAACAAGATAATCTTGAAGTGGGAAAAAAATTTCAAAACTAAAAAAAGCAACCTGAACATGAAGACTAGACCTCTTGTCAACAGGGAACAGCCTGTCGGCCTCATTCAAGCACAAGATTGGAGTGCCATCAGGCGCAACCGCGAATCGAACGCTGATGCCCAGAGGCCAACCGTCGTGGGTCAACGTCGAGAGCGTTCCCTCGGAGGACAGCTCCACGATGGTCCTCGAAACTTCGGCCGGAAACGGCTTCGCACTGGAGGACAATCCCAACCGAGTGGCTTCGGAGACGGCGGAAAGCGAGCATTTCAGGGTCTTGAAGCAGGATAACTTCGGGAACGAGCACGATTTTCGTGGGAAAGATTGGGCCTTGAGGTCGGGTCTGAAAAGGGTCGGTGAAGGAGTGAAATGGGTCGTCAGAGATTGAGCTTGAAGCAGCATTTTTGAGAGAGAGAGAGAGAGAGAGAGAGAGAGAGAGAGTTTAGCTATAGAGCTGAAAGATTCAGGAGAAGCAATTCAGGTAAAGAGTCGATTGATGGTGATCATGCAAGAAAGGAGGAACCAAACTATCACAAAGATCGGATAGAGAGAGGAGGAGGAGGATTGTGTCTTCAGTTTTGATTATTTGTGGTCAGCGCCAAGTCCCTGAGGAACTGTACAACGACGCCGCTCAGAGAGTCTGGTATGCAACTATGAATATTTTAGACCGTCTGGTCTTTTTGATGATCCATCCACTCGTCTCCCTTCATATGACAAACAAGACCATGAGATAACGGCACAAACATTCTCTTAACTTTGATTCAATGTACAATTTGATTCCTGAACTTTTAATTTTTTTAATGTAGTCTCCGAACTTTAACCCAATATGTAACGTGGTCCCTGAATTTTTAATTTGTTCAATATCATCCCTGAATTTTTGATACATGTTCAATTCGGTCCCTAAATTATATTAAAAGTTCAGGGACTACATTGCACATTGAGCTAAAATTCGGGGACTACGTTGAATAAATTAAAAGTTCATTGACCAAATTGCATATTGGATCAAAATTTATGGACTGTTTGTGTCATTATCTATTGATTTAAATTGATCGATCGCACCACGTCATAATCATTAAGCGACAAACCTACATGAGATTGATTTCTTAAGTCCTCAACAATGTGTCACAGAATTGGTGTTCATTATATATTTGTTTGTGATTTGATCCTTTTTTCTCTTTTTTTTGGCGCTGACGCAAATTTACCAACAAAAGTTAGCTTAATCATTGTCGATGTGAGTTATGGATATTATGTAGACTCGACTATAGCTTTTCTTTAATTGATTAACTAGGCATATAGTATAGTGAATCAGTGCGAAGATTCACGGCTAAGGTGAAAAAGTATATAGAGAGCATAATACGACTGTAACTCAATATCTCTAGGAGGTGTGATTCCATTTAAATCTCTGAACTCAATCCATGCTAGAATCTCTCAACAACAGTGGGTTCACCGCATTTTCTTTATGTTGTGCACAGGCGCCTACATGGCTTCAAAGCCACAATGCTTACGGTCAAATCAAGCTCCTCTTAGTTTGCTTCTTCACCCAGTATCCTCACATGATCAGAACAATGAGAAAAGCTCATCTTGACTCCGTTGCCGGTATCGCGCGTACAGATGATTCCCAAGGGCAGAGCATAATTGGTTGAACTAAACTAGAAGCAGTGGTCATAAACGGCTTCAGAAGAGCAGTGCAGAGAGCGGGAAGTAATTCGATGCCAAGAGGTCCTCATCCTCAGCATGCTGCATAATCCTTCACCATCAGAATTTCGTCGCACAACTTTTGAGGCACTTGCTGCAAATTCTTTCCTTCTTGCCATGCTTGTCCTACCAAGACTCCAGGCCCAATGTAACGAAGGTACACGACAACTTCATCGTTGAAAGGATAAGGGTGCTTCCCTACAAAAGAAGAGGATTATGAAAGTGAATTAAGTTCTTGACTTGAACTATAGCAAAACTAAGAGTCTTTAAGTCAGTTTCAGAGTCTTTGTTATCTGATATATCATGACAAGTGCAGAAACATGACAAATGATTTTGGTCATTAGTCAATTGAGGATTTAAGGTTTTCATTCAGTCAATCGAGAATGTAAGATTTTAAAAGAACCCCAATTGGGTCTCGAGTTCACCGTGGATGGAATTTAGGCATCGAAAAGGACACGTGACAAATAACCAAATACTACACATGGCATGTCGGATTTCCAATGCCTAAATTCGACCCACATGAGCTCAAGACAATTGGGGCTTTTTCAAAAGCTTAAATCTCCAATTGATCAAAATAAAACCTTAACTCTTCTATTGACCAAAGGGCAAAACCTGAAATCCTGTTCTTGCACTTAACCTACATATATTATATTTACAAGAACTCACATCGACCTCTTTGCATCTAGTTGAATGACTGAACCAACCTGGTTTAGGGAAGCTCTCTGGGTAGTCACAGAGATCCAGTAATCCATCGCCGAATTCGTACGCTAGATCACAAGGCTGTTCTGTGGACATTACTTCCTTGACTTGTGTCACCACAAAGTACAGTGGATAAAAGGAACTAGCTAATTGACCTGGTAGCGATTCGCCTGAGAAAGAGGAAGTTCTTAGACCACAGTATCCAGCAAATTACCAACCAACCTTAAATCTGAATTTGGAGTTTAACAACTCGCAAGCAGCAATAAATGAAACAAGAGAAAAGGCCAAAATTCATTGCTTTGGCATAAATGATGAGTAGTTCACCATAATTGTGCTATTCTCTATGAAGTAACCTCAATGGTATATGAATGCTTCAAATTCATGAACCTGTCACTGCAACTGCTATCAAGCAATGTCCTTAACTTTTTGCGAGAGAAAAAAGGGTTTACCAATAAAACGGCCATACTTCTTCTCATCCTTGGAACAGAATATAGCCTGTGTAAGAAACGGCGATTAGTTACATGCACACCTGAGAAGTATCGCAAGAAGTGACTTAAAAACAGGAAGTATGATATACTCAGAACTGTCAAGGAGTCAAGATTTCACCTTTTTGAAGAAATTTATCCAAGCAACAGAGGGAGGACCTGTTTTACAAGGGTTTTAAAAAGAAAATCAACCTCAAGAGGGTCTGAAACTACATAATCTCATATTCAATATTTTCTATAATGCCAAAGGAGCCGTCATCTGTGTTACTAGCAAAAATCTCAGTGTGTTACCTCCACTGGTTCGACAATAGTAATACTCAAGCGATGTCTCTTTAGCTTCGCCAGAGAGAAAACTGGACGCTTTTTTCTTTGCTAACTTAGGATCCTCATAGCGCGTGCCAGCTACCTCCCAGGCTCTTGATATAAGCCTGCACCATATTTCCAGGCCTTTCAGAAACGAAATTTAACACAAAACCACCAGTTCATTTGCCAATAAGCATGCTACATATCACTTTTCATAACTGAAAAAGTTGCAGGCAAACTCAAAGGACAAAAAATCAGCCCTCTCAGCAGCACCCAAACAAACATACTAACATGCTCAAGGGAGAGAAAACCTCGGTTTTAGCAAGTGCAGTAATCGATGGCGCCTTTCCTCCGGAATGTCATCAATTTTCTTCCTGAAAATTTACAAGACCCAAAACTATAGATGACTCCCTTCCCTTGTCAACTTCAACAGAACCCAAGAGTAAAAGAAGTACCCAAATGGGTAAATAATGTCGAATCAAAGAAGTCATGCAATACAAAGTTATCTATTGATCATACATTCATGATGCATACGAAATTTTTCTTTACCATAAGTAAGCAGCTGGGTTGTAAGAACTGGGGTCAAGAGGAATCAACTCCTTGGGAGGGTCAAGAAATGCGACCACATCTTGCTCATCCAAGTAAGCTATTCTACCATTTGGCAATGTTTCGTAAGGTTTATCATCCCACGGCGACAAATATTCCGTCTCGCTTCCATTCACAGCTCTTATTGTGCCTCCAGAGGATGACACCAATCCATAGCTCCACAAATTCAAACCTAAGAAACAAGGTTGAACCATGAAGTCAAATGCCCAGTTATAAAAAATGCACAAAAAGGAACCATTATTGAGCTGAATTCAGGTTCTTCCAGAGTCGAGAGAGAGCAAGAGAAGCACAGAAATTGCTAACTGGTAATTAGGAAAATTAAAAATTCAGGAAATTGATGAAAGACCCACCTTAATTTTGCTCAAAACATGACAAAACAAAGCGAGTATGAGCAGAAAGAATCAAGAGTGCGGGAAAGTTGCAGTCTTTGAATGGGATAAGAGAGAGAGAGAGACAGAGAGAGTCATGAGCTCTCACCTGACGCGAGACGTGGCCACCGTCGGACGGGATGGTGAATTTGGAGCGAAGAAGGAAAGAAGGGAGATCGTGACGGACGGCGGTGGTGATGGGAGGTTCGGCGAGTGAACCAGGAGTTGCCGCAGCTGCAGGCGAGCGCCTCCATTGTTACTCTGCTGTGAGGCGTTCTTTGTTTAGGAGGGCCTTCCTTTTGAGGGTCTTATTTAATATCCTTAGTTTAGCTCAGCAAAAGTCCCCCAAAAAAAAAAAGTTTCCATTGACCCCATAGAGCCCACTTTTCTTCTGTTTTTTTCCCCTTAATTTTGCGATCGAGCACCAGAAACTATCATCATCATTGAATCCGACCTCTTTTGCTTAATGCACTTGATCAATAAGCGGACGATGTTTGGTCTGAGGTAGTAGTAGCCAAGGGTTCTCAGGAGCCGGTGCTTACCCTGACAGGACATGGCATGATTAAATGACAATGAATGATCAACCCAAGCTGACATCTCGAAGCGCGGTGGCTCGGACGGGCATGTACCGTGCTTAGTGCAAAGTTTTTCTATAGGATAGGAATCGATGCAAGTTTCTCTGACCGATCAGGAGCAACTTTTTCGAATGTCCAGGATTAAAATGTTGTCGCCAGTACTTATACAAACGTTTCCTGGTTCATTCTGGATGGCTCTGCTGGAAAAGAGTCTGAAATCTTAAGTTCTGCAGCTTCCTGATACTCCCTTTCACAGGAAGCAAAACGTTATCTAGAGATAGACACTTTGTGTAGTTTGTTAAATGGTGAACAATGCTTGAAATCAAGAAACCGCACCGAAAGATCGCAGCTTCGCCCCATAAGGGCACAAAGTAACTATAATTAGTTGGACTGAGGGAGGTCCATGTTTTTCACTGGAGAACTTGTTGTCGAATAGTCCTCAAAACCTCTAAGAACATGCACCAAATCGTTCTGGAAGACGGACAAAAGCAAGCTCGCAATAACATTGTGCAATGGATGCTTAGGAAAAGACACCTTTTTCAACATAGCATGTGGTTAGCAATTGCTAACATTGAATAAGCAATAAAAATGACAATTTGCACTGGCTTTACAGAAGCTAACCATAGTCTGATACCGCCCCCTATCATTGATTCTAGATAAGTTTTGTCAACCAAGAGGAGCTCATTGCTCCCCAATTAGACCGAGACCGACAATAACGAATGTGAAGCCTTGAAGTAAGAGGAAACAGAAATGCAGTTTTCTGGCCAATACGAGACTCCGAACTGCAGCAGTCAGTAGTAAGAAAGCCACTGCAAGCTCTTTCTTATACATCTTGCTTGCTTTCTTCCGAGTTTTGGCAAGTTCGACAGGACATTCCTTCTGTTTGTTGAGCTTAGTGAGCTCCTCATCGGAAGCTCCTTTGCAGGTTTTACCGGTTTTGTTCATTTCAGCAGAATCCGCCAAGCGGCCTGTTTTTTTGGTGACAATCCACTCGTGTGAACTACTCAGCTGTAGCAACCCCGAAATTGCAGCACTGAATTTGGTCAAGGACATTGTGTTCTCAAAAAGAATGTAAGGGACTACGAAAGGGGTGGATTTTGGGTCGAGGAAAATGTTCAGTATCAACATTATTAGGGGCCAATAATAAATTACCCACGCTGGTAGATTGGCTTCAGGGATGAACGTGGCCAGAGGAAGAATCACGCACAAGAATGTGAGCGAATAGAATGGAAGTATAAGTTTCCTTAGAATGAAGAATAGAAATATCAGGTTTGCTTTCTTCCAGAAAGTGATCTGCAATATAAAGGCGAATTCATTTACTTGCTTTGGTTTTCCATTTGAGATTCAGAAATTAAATAAAGTAAGAGTGAAAGAGCAAGAGTTAATTACCTGGGAAGTTATGATCGACGGAAGGCACAAGCGAAAGAGATTGCACGGACCCGAATGCCATCGGTGTTGCTGCTTTCTATAAGCTTCATAAGATTCAGGAAGCTCACAGAGTACCTAAATTTGAAATTTGATTTAGTGAGAAATACTCTGAAATTATGGAACAAAGTTGTTCACTGCCGACATTTCTTCAATTGTATCAACCAAAAAATTCAGCAGATGGCATTATGTACATTGCATGCAACTTCTTCCTAACATTTTCATGGAATCCCTTATTCTTGTCTGAGTCTTTTTTCTTCAAGGACCACTGCTGATATCTTGAATTTCGAATGAAGTCGCGAGAAGAAGAATGAAACCAAAGAAGAAATCAAGCATCTAGATTAAATATACCTTCACATCGTTAAGGAAGATGAACTTCCAACCTTTGAGATGGGCACGGATCGCTATATCCATATCCTCTACAGTCGTCCTCTCCAGCCAGTCTCCAGAATCTCGAAGTGCTTCAATCCTCCATACACCAGCGGTACCATTGAAACCGAAGAAATTAAGGATCGCCCCATTAACCTGCTGCTCCACTTCAAAGTGGAAGCACCTATCGACATTCTGCATTTGTGTCAGCAAGTTCTCATCCTTATTTACAAAAATCCACTTGGCTTGAACCAACCCCAGCTTAGGATTATCCTGCGACACAGGATGAGAATAGTCATTGAGATGAGCACCGATCGGGAGCTAGAAGAAGATTAAAAGTTTGAGAAACCTTAAAATGAGGGACTGTCTGCTGGAGAAAGTTTGGTTTTGGCATAAAATCAGCATCGAAGACCGCAACGAACTCATACTTTTTCACGTACTCACAGTGCATGGCAGATTTGAGGTTCCCAGCCTTATATCCAGTTCTAACCTGTCTATGCCTATATATAATGTTCACACCTTTTTCGTTCCACTCTGAAACCTCTTTCTTGACTAGCCTCTGTATGCTCTCATCATCAGAGTCATCCAGAACTTGAATAAGCAGCCGATCTTGAGGCCAATTAAGTTGGCAGGCTGCTGTGATGGAATGCTGGTATACCTAAAGGAAGTTTACAGCAGAGTCTGTCATACAAGATGAGGACAGTACACGGCACATAATGCAGCAACACCTTCTCATATTACTATCTTGTATCTTAAGATTGATGTGAAGATCACCCAATATTGAGGGAAAGTACCAGGTATATGAATCCTTTGACGGTGGTAAAGTTTTTGCAAATTGAAAGCACTAAGTTCAGTTCCAGATTGTGAAGTCCAAAGATTAACACAAATCAGCGGTCTTTTCTGTACTCCTTTATAGTATCATTATCCACAGCCAAATCCTGATTCATCACTATCGACTAGCAAGATGCGTACAGTACAAGGATGCAATATTAAAGAGCCTTAATTTAATCATCCTGTCGAAATTAATTACTCATGATGAGTCAAAAGTTGAACACAAACCAGCTTTACGAAACAATACAGTAATGTTCACATGATTTAATATAGCATACTATTTACAGCTTTATTGGTCATATGAATGATTGTTTGTCAGCCTTCATCTTTCTGTGCTGCAATGTTCGTAAATGCTCATCTGATCAAATTCCACCAGATCACAATATGCTTGCAAATTGCAAAGCAGAGAGAAAGATAAAAACAAATGCAAATAGACAGCAGTAGGTATGCAATGCCTACCTCTCTCTCATTGTACATAGGAATTTGAACGAGAACCATCGGGTACTCATACTCAGGACCTTCCATATAGTCTGACCTGAATGGATCTCCTCTGACATTTGGCTTGATCCCTTTGTACTTAATCCATAAGCAACCAAGACACAGCGCTGTGCGGTCCACCGACAGTATAAAAAAGAGTGCTATATAGAATCTACAGAGAGTTTGAGCTAAAGGCACTATAGATTCAGCACGCAACTCCAACCACGAAGCATGGACCCTGTGAAACCACGCTCTGATCTCCGAAGTTTGATTTGTGCGCAAACCAGCACTTGAGAAGTTATTCCACCCTCGGGCAACTGGTTCAATTGCTGGAGCAATCAAAGCCATCACCAGGAATGCTAGAATAAGTCTGAAGAGAAACTTACTTCTGTCCAATTTCGCAGTCTCATCGCTCTCTCTTTGACCAAATAGCAATCTCTTCTTGATACTACTCAACACCCTGTAAAGAACATTTCCAGCAAAGGCCACTGAACAGATGGCCTTATTCGCCTCCATGAGCAAAACCCATTTAAGCTGTTTGGCTCTTTTGTTCCGGTCCTTAACGACTGGTTTCAATGCAGGATCCCGATCACCTGTCACAAACCTAGAGTTGCTGTATCTTTCCATGATCACCCTCACTGGGTCACTCACTCTATCCTTGGAGGCTTTTGACACTTTATCTAAGTGAACCAGGGATTGTCACTATGATCCCAATGCAAACGTTCCAAACTTGCAATAATTTTTTTTTTGATACACTAGAGCCTTTTTCACTAGTAATAATTACCAAAAAAACGACAACTTGCACTGAAGAATCAAACAATATTGCCGAAAGATAACACACCCGAATGACAGTACCAAGAAAATGGCATTACCTCTCAATATTCTCACCTAACACAGTTCAAGGCCAAAACCAATAAAGGGCAAATGATTGGGGTACTTCTTAATAGTAGTGGCAATAAAGGGTTCTGTAGTGTGAGCTACCCCACATAAGAGCCACCATTGCAACATTTTCTGCATCTTTAAGTTTGAATAAATGGCTATCCTCTGGTCGGATTCAGACTACCATTTCTAGCCTTGGAATAAGAACAGACTAGCATGATGTTTGTGTCTTTGCGCTCTCTCATCATATTGCCAATGAATAATTGTGTAGACAAGAATAGATGGGACAAACCTTGAACAGATTGAAAGGAAAGTTAAAAATAAGGTGAACCATTTTACAACAGCAGAAAAATTATGTTGGTATGCACGCACACTGCGAGAGAATTTGGCAACATGTGAATTTCATAAGCACAAATAATGGACTCTTTCCTGACAAATTTATTGGCGGGAATCCTTCAAAGTGAAAGGATTGCTTTGATTGGCTAAATCTGTGCAGCCTAAGGGGCATGATAATATTGCTCCATCAATCACTATGCATGAAAATAGCTTTAATGGTGGTCCATAAACTTTCTGACATACTTGGTGAATTTTGCAGAAGTTCACATGCCAACTTCAGAGTCGCAAAGCTTTAAAAAATGAAAGTTGATGGAGGAAACATAGGTTTCATGCTGTGAGTGCATCTATATGTAGCCTCAAAGACATAGGAGTCACATCAATTCCATCATGGATCTCAGCTTAGCATTAGGATATTCTTCACGAAAGATACCTTTTAAGAGGAGGACCAGTCACTTTAGTTGCTTGCCTCGTATAGAAATATATGGTACCTATATCTATTATCATGATAAAATATTCTATGATTACTTTCATATTTGTGAGCATCTCTAGATCATATTGTACTATTTAGATTAATTATTTCCAAAGTGAAATGGCTAATTTATATGTACCATATTTATGTTTCTTTTCTCTTTTCAACATTTTCCATGCTCCTATATAAGGGATAATAGCTCAAATGGTACATGAACTTTAATCTAATATTAAATGTCGTTCCTAAACTTTTAATTTATTTAATGTGGTCCTCGAACTATTGATAAATGTTCAACGTAATCCCTAAACTATATAAAAATGTTTAAGAGACTAAGGACCATAGTGAACATTGACCAAAGTTCATGAACAATTAACAAATCAAAAGTTCGGAGACGATATTGCATATTGGATTAAAATTCACGGACCATTTATATTATTTTTTCCTTACATAAATATGCTTTTCAGTTAAATGAAAAGTGTGGATGTTTTTAGCTATTTATTTTATACATACAGGACAGGACTGATGAAATTGTTGCAATAACTATAAGTTTTGAGTGCTTTCATTTGCGGGCCTTATGGATTAGGTCAAAATGACAGTTTGTACAAGGAATATTCTATTGCTAAGCATCTTTAAGTTCAGTCATGATTAGCTAATGAAGTATAGCACGCTTGAATTATTAGGGGGTTGGTACCTTTTGTTTGGCTAAAATCTCTATCCTTGGATCTGGAACGTTAATAAAGTCGGATAATAGATACAGAGAAGTTTTCATGTATTTGGGTACTTACCTTGATTAGGGTCTTAATGATGCAAGGTATTTGAGAGTTGCTCCAACGAATTCGGCTACCATTCGGAGTATCTTCTCAAGTAATTCAAGTATCAGACCAACTCGACGCGTTTCGAGTTCGTAAACACGGTGGATTTCTAATTAGGTAATTGCCACTCTTGTAAATATTAAAAAAAGAGGGTGCGATATTGATTTTGAATGTACTTCAATAAGACGAGTTCAACCCATTCTCGACCGAGTAGTTTACTCGTCGAATCTTAATCGAGCAAACGAGTCTCGAATATTTCCAAATCAAGTCGAGTTTATCATTCGGACCAGCTTGACGACTATTCTTATCTTTGACTGTCATGTTATGGTCCGAACGCATGTTGAAGTTGCACTACGGTCCCATTAGTGAACTTCTAGGTCTATTGTTTTTATGTCGCGTGGGAAAGTGACCAATAGAATCAATAACATCATGTTCTCATGCAGTTTATAATTTAAAAAAAAAAACCCAGAAAAGAAAATGCATGGTCTATATTATGATGCCGCCAATCATTACGCTACCCAGGCAAAGCACCTACGAATGATAGCAGAAATGAAAAAGAGATGATGATCATTAGTATTTGACAGATTTTGCATGGCCATTTGGACTCCTTTTCTTGCACATATCTTTGCTTTTGCTAGTTTCAGATCAAGACGCCAGCATATGTCTACAGCCCTTTCGCTGGCACCCCTCAGTTTTCTTGGGTAAAGAGATTGATCTAAGTGACAAGACAGGGACATATGGAAAAGACTAGGAGGGTCAACTGAAAAAAGGGTTGAAAAGCCACTAAATGGGACCATCAAACTTTAAATCGGTCCTCCACTCACATTTGACTATTGGTAACTCCCGCGAAATCCTCATTGCTCAACGTGGAGGTTCCACAATCCTCGAGAATTCAATCATCAGGAGAGATCGGTCATTATAGAATTATAAATAAATAAATCTGATATATTTGTTGGAAACTTTTCAGTTATACAAGTGTCGCGACACTTTCTGTGTAAATTACGATAGATTAAACTCGGCTATAGTGCATTGTGACAAAGTTGACATAAGATTGGCAACTTGGTGCATCATCTTCTTTTTAACTTAGCCTTTGGCTCCTCCACGCATGCTTCACTTCGACTCGAGGGTCAAGCGGGAAAGGAGAAGAACAGCAAAGGAAGGGCAGGTAGGGAGGGAGGTTGTCATCATTGCTAGTGTGCAATAACACTAGGCATGCGTTCTCCCTCACTGCCACAAAGCCTGGACTCATTCTTCTTTTCGCAAGCTTTTTACAAGCATGATCACTTCTCAAGAACAAGGTTTTCAGCATGGGATTAGGCAACCCAACGTGTCAAACATGAAGTAGTAAGACTATTGTGAATCCTCACAGGGTTGCACCTAGCTCGAGGATTCAGCTTGTACTGGTTGTTCTGGGCTATGACGATTATACACCTAACTGGGAGGAAGATCAAAAATGGAAGTAACAAGGAGATGATGACACATTGTGGAAAACGAAATCTGAATCCACACCATCTTCTAAGAAAGAGGTTGTATTCGGTATCTCTTGTAAAAGCCCAAAGGACATTACAAATCTGGTGACCAAGGCAAGCACTGCCGCATCAAAACAGAAGGATGGCCTGTTTAATAATGCTAGAAATGAAAAGGAAATGATAATCATAAGCGTTGGTGCTCATCATTATGATTACTCCATTTGCTTGCTGCACATATCTTTGCCCGCTAGTTTCAGATTAAGACGCCAGTACGTATCTATATATCCCTTTCGCTGGCGTTTCTTAGTTTCTTCAGTAGAGAGATTGATCTTTCTCGACCCTCCTTCCTACCCCCACCCACCTCCCTTTCTCACCCAATTCCATTAAAAAAGAGATGAAAAAGAAAAAAAATGGATTTCATTTCTTTGCTGCTAATAAAATTCTTTATGCTTTCTTAAAGTAAAGAAGACAGGGGAGCACCTTCCTCTCGCATCTCAGCTCGAGGGTAGATGCTCGTTCCGTTCTCTATATTCTCTTTTGCCTTTTATAGACTTCGTGTAGTCCTGGCATCATGCCACCATATTGCTTGTAAGAAGATCTTTTTGCGCATTTAATTCGTGCTTTCTCACCCCCGAAACATTCGGGATCAAAAATAAAAGTAGACGGGCAAAAATTCTAGGGGATGGCTAGTTCGGATCTCTATATTTCATCGTTTGTCTCGCCCTTCCGGCATTAATCACGATTGAAACCACCAATTCACCCATGTGACACTGTTGATGTGGCTAAATTTGGACACGGGGAGAAAATGAATCATCACATCAAAAAATTTACCCTCACCTACCACAAATGGGAGGTCTAGCAATCCCGACCATACTCAAGCACAGGTCATAGAACCAAGATCTAGAGACAGAGAGAGAGAGCGAGCTAGGAGAGTTGTCGTCCCCTTAACCACCGGCGAGGGTAGCTTGGCACTCGCAGGTGGCAGGCAACGGGGACGCCTCCCGACCTCCCCTTCTCTCTCTAGGTTTGGGGCTTTGCTCGAGCATAGTGAGGGCTGCAGACTCTCACCGCGCAGGTAAGTAACTTGATGGAAAAGTTAGATGACCAAATCAAAGTCATCTCGAGACATGACTCGAACCTATAATCTCGTAGAAGACAGCGTGACCTTTTTTTTATCATCAGGCTCCTACGCTCCGGGTGCACACAAATATACAACACACTTTTTTGGGCCATGGATTAGAAATGTACTTGACCCTGGACAGCCCATGGACATGGCGTGGAACTTGGGCCCAGTATCGGTAAGCCCCGGCCCATTTATCCGGCCCACATGATTCACCAGACGGCCTTAGGTCAGAGAGGGAGAGCGAGAGAGAGAGAGAGAGAGACGATCGTTTCCACTTCTTCTTCTTCGCCTGTCCATTGCGCTCCTTCCTTCCGAACGCAGAGACTCCTCCGAGGGTAGAGAGAGAAAGTAGGTAGGGAGAGAGAGAGAGAGAGAGCGGGGGAGGTCAAGATGAGCGCGCCGATGCCGTTCTGGAGGGCCGCCGGGATGACCTACATAACGTACTCCAACATCTGCGCCAGCCTTGTGCGGAACTGCCTCAAGGAGCCCCACAAGTCCGAAGCCCTCAGCCGCGAGAAGGTCCACTTCGCCATCTCCACCTGGAACCAGGGCAAGGCCGAGAAGCCCGGTACTTCCCTCGCTTTCAGACCTCTCTCTTTTCGTCATCATAGCTTTCCCTCGAATCGCCGTAGCCGTTCGCCGTCTTTTGATGATTCCGGTTTTGGAGATTAGGGTTTCGATTGATCTGAGCTCGTAGCCTGTCGTGCTCTTGATGCATGACTAGGTAGCACGTGTAATTGGATTGTTTAGAAATTTTGGGCTGCTGAGATTTTTTCGACTGCTGGTGACAGGTCGTTGGGGGTAATGCTTGCGTAGATCTTGTTTGTCCATTATGGATGCTTAGCTTTTATAGTTTTGTTTAAACCGGTTCAAATCTCACATTTGTGGTATGGCATCGATTGAAATCCTTGATGCTTCGCCTTGTGAGTGAGCTAAATTTTACTTCTTTGAGATCCTTTTGCGGTGCCTTGTGGTGCATTTCCCTTTGCCTATATAGAAGAAGATCCTGGGATGAGAAAATGACGCATTTTCTTGTTTTTCACATCAATTGAAGCGCAAAAAAAAAAAAAAAAACTGTCATAAAGAGCCGGATCGATCTGCTTCATTTTGTAGAGTAAATAAGCTTTTGATCCCCTTCAATCGACATTACTAGGAGCCTATGCGTGCTCAATACACTCTCACTTTGTGTGTGATCTATCCTTTAAGTTGTCCTGAGAAATTCCCTTATGTTTAATTTCGCTAGTGGGCAATAGTTTCCTGTTCATTCTCTGTAGTGTCGCTATCTGTTTGTGCAACGATTGGAATATTCTATCATCTTTCAATGCCTAGATAATGGTGGTAGGTTCGTAGAGCTTGTGAATCACTTCATGTATGGGATATCGAATTGTTCCTAGTTTTGTGTTCTGCCATCAGCATCTGGACATGTGAGTTTCCCCCTTCTTGTCCACTTTCCCCAGGAGTTGCTTCTGCGTCTCTTTGGTGGTCAGCCTTGCTCTCTCTAGGTTTAGGTGATATAATCCAAGAGTTAATTCTTGTTGACAAAGGCCCTAAGATTATCTGCATTGTGTTGCACTTGCTCCCTGACATAGGTTCCTCAGGGAAGGATTGGTTCTGCATTTAGATTTTTAGCATTGTAACCAAAAACTGCCTAACTAGGGAAATTGGACGCCTGATATTTTCTGACAAATCTATATATTTTTTAATAGATTCTTTTCTTTCTGCTGCTTGCCCTTTGCATTGTGTGACCAATCATCATCAATTCATCACGTCATTCTGTTTTTAAATATTGTTGTGTGGGAAGTGTAAATAACATCCACTCTCCACTCATATTTGCTTGTTCATGTTACTCGATGTTTTTACCTGCTTTATGCTTAACTTTCTGAAAGAATAGAGGATAATTATTAGTCACTCGCACCTGCGACCCACAGAACTATACAAAATGAAAAAGGCTTGTTTTGGATGGACAAATTAGTAGGGCTGCTAATCTTCTGTTGTCCCAATGATGCTACGCATAAATTGTGTATATCAGATGAATGACGACAGTGCAAAAAGAATATATTCATTTTTTTTAATTTACACAAGTGTTCGTCAGTAAATAGGGCTTTGTTAGTTGACAATACATTTTCATTCTCAGGTTTAATGCATGCATGCATGTGATTTAGGTGTCTTGCATGCTTTGTGTTATGATCTGGTTTGTGACTGGGTACTTTTTATAGTGTGCGAAGGTGTGGGATGGGTAGAAATTAGAACATCTGTATCTATGGTGAAGTTTGGAAAATTTGTTCCCATAAATTATCAACCGTTAGTTTTTGGTGATATCCATCAGGCTTTTGGATCTACCTTAATGTCGCTTGAAGAATTGAGTACCATGGTCACCTCTTTTTAATTTCTGTGCATGGGAATTCTGTTTGTCATTTCAATTCCTATGCATGAAAACTTCAACCATAGTATGGTAGATAACTTCATCTGTTGACATTTTAATTTAGTTAATTCTATGAACACTGTATTATGAATTGCCTTTTGTTCATCATAAGGCAGATGTATAAATATATTTTGTGGTCTTTAGAGTTGAGAAGCTGCACCAATTGTTCCCGCTGACTTTGTGAGTTTTAAGTGCATGCCTTTTACCTGTTGAATTATATATATTTATGGCAGGTTTTTGATCGCCTAGCTATGTCAGAGATGTGTGGATTGGAAATGCTAGTGCAGCAGTGCCATATAGCGGTGCTGACTGAACCTTTTTCAGTGTAACTTAGCGTGTCTATTGATTCTTTGCATATTCTCACATGGCTTGGTCGACATATTCCGTAATTTGTATCATTTTGCTATTGCGCTGGAAATCTGGGATTATTGCTGCCCTTTATGAGTCAATTTGTCATCTCTCATTTGAAAATGATGTTTTTAGTATTTCTTACTTGGGTTGACCTTTCCTAGTTAGGCTTGGGTTGACCTTTCCTAATTATGCTTGGATAATGATGGAGGTTTCTTTGGCTTATTCTTGGACAGCTTAGATTCTACAAACTTCATCACCTATACTTCTGGTGCTGCTTTGCTGTGTTTGTCTAGATGTATAATGGATGAACTGCTTGATGGGATAGTTGTTGCACTTTTACTTATTTAATACTGGGCATGTGTGCATGTCTGAGCTAAGATACAACAGAATTGATCAAGTTTGAGTTGTTCTTGGTAACCGACCTGATGACGTACTTCTTCTGTTTCTGCCAGTAATTCGTTCGGATTTGCCGGAAGAGTGACAGCAATGACATGGGATCAATAAACGCTGAGAAGGGGATGTGAATGTCTGCTGAAGCTGAGGTTCTTTCAGTCGAGTGGGCATTTTGTTGTTGATCTGTGATGACTACACCTTATGAGACTGATTCTTGATTTTCTCATCTACCCATCGATGTTTGAGTCGAAATAATGGTGCTCTTGCCCTTTGCAGAATGTACTGCTCAACTTATGCGATGAAACTCTTGTTGACCTACTTTTTGGTTGGGTTATGCTTATTGCTTCTCGCGCGGCGTTAATTGAAGCTTATGCTTTAGGCTTACTGGCAACAATAGGATGAACATTTTTTGTTTATACACCAATATGTCAATCACCAGTCAGCCTCCATCTCCATCCTTTGCATAAACTACCATTCACCTTTTAGGTTGACGCTGCCGGATGCGGTTCCAACCACTGCAAATGTAGGTTGGACTAAGTACAAAACCAAAGATCGACACAAATGACAACAAGGTATGACCAAAAGTATGACGCCTAAGTTCCACCGGCTCCATCTTATCTACGTGCATTGTCAAGCCTGGACACTGTCACGTAGCTCGTGTCCACTTATGTCGATTCAAATCATCCAGCAAGGACCTACATCCAACGTATCCTGATTAATCAAAAAGCCTGTTGCTTTCTCCGTTATTCCGTGTTGTCTGAACAGCAAAGATGGTCTCCAACGAATGTCCGGCCTTTCTCGTCCCTATTACTTCATGGCACGCACGACGCATTTACGCCTACATGAGGTCAATGACATCATTTTCAGATAATTACGTCGTAAATAAATAAGAACGAGAAGGGATTGGCGTGTGATTAACAAAACTACAGAATTAACACTCGCGATTAATCTTAGAAGAAAAACGAAGGAAAGACCACGTTCGTACCAACAGCGATGCTTAAGTTGAAGTCGAAAGTCAAACCAGAAACGGAGGAGAAAAGAAGGTCAGAAGAGTTGGGTTTCACTGCGAAAGAAACGTAAAGAGACGGGCTCAACTCCGATTCTTCGCTTTCACTGCTCGAACAGACACACGCTTTCTTCTTCGATCGTCTCCCTTCTTCCTCACCAACTCTCTCTTCTGCTCTTGCTCTGTCACCACCAGCTGCTCGCTCGATCGCTACTTCCTTTTAGATCTACCCCGATTCTTGCTCTTTCGGTCGCGAACCCTGCTGTTGATTAGTTTGATCTGATCTGGTGGGCCTTGCCCTGCGATCCCATCGAGAATGGCGACGGCGAAGGCGGCCCGATCCCGGGGGGCGGCGCCGGCGAAGGAGAACGGCGAGAAGCTGGAGGAAGGGCTCACCGTCTTCAAGTCCGACAAGTTCGACGCCGATGCTTACGTCCAGTCCAAGTGCATCCTCAACGAGAAGGTGCACCCCCCCCCCCTACTCTTTTGTCTTTATGGCTCTCTCTGTGTTTTGTGTTTTGATTTGGGCGTTGGCTGCGGATGCTTCGATGGGTCCCTGTTGGGTCGTGTCTGCTTGATTGTGCGTCGAATTGGTGCGTCTGTTTGTGGAAATCTGTGAGACTTTTGACGCGCGTTGCTGTAGCTGGGTGTTCATGGTTTCTACTTCGTCGTCAGTGGGCTCTGCTTGCTTAGGAAATTGAAGTTCGAGCACCAAGTTCTCCTTTTTTGGCTTCTTCAGTCCTTGAAATCGTGAAGAGGAGTTGAAAGTTCCTGCTTTTCTTAGCTTTGTGACCTCCATTCCTTGCGCACTTGAAATGGGGTTCCAACCCGAGATATTCCTGTTGAGATTTCACACCAATAGCACCAGTCAGCCTGTAATTGAGCAACCAGAACTCTTGGGGGACAGTTGAGAATAGTACATCTGGGGCGCTGATTGGTGGTTTGCATTTGCACGAAAGTCAGCACACTTGTTCCTTTGGCTAAATCATGTTTGGAGCTCTCTTTCGTCGCCTGTTTGGTAAAAAGTCTCTAATCGGATGCATATTTTGGATGCAACTGGTATCATTTCCTCGAATGGTGGGACAGTGTGTGATTTACACGGTGCTATATTCTGCAATGCACGAGAGATCCATGTAACCAATCCGCTTCATGCGAAAGGGCCCTTGTTTTGGGTTGCAGGCGGCGGTGGCTATATTTATGGTATTGATGAACCACAGTCTTCCAGACTAAACCTCTTAATTTGAAAATGATCATTTCCCAGAATGGAAGTCCTATATTCAAACGCATTCATAAATTTTGAACAGCGTAATCATGTGTACGTATCACACTGCATCATGAGTCACTTTGTGCTTTCTTTCGAGTAAAACCTGGGTTGGGTAAGAGCTTCTTTTCCTCCTTTGATCAAAGAAAAGAGTCATGGATAGGCTACCGAGTGGGTTGTAACCCTTTTATACTATCATTGAGAAGAGTATGCCAGAAGGTAAACATTGTTTAATTGTTTACGAAAAGACTTTGAAGTACGAAAGTGCAAACTCTGAATCCACCTATGAAAAGAAATAAAAGATTAAAAAGACAATACATCATTTTTGTCAAAGGCTCTTCTCGTATTGCCCTAACCGATGCAACTCTGGAGAACTTCCGCTTCCTGGGTTTGTTGCCATTCCATCCAAGCCTTACAACTTTTTTTTTGTGGCCTGAAAGCCTACAACTCCTGAGCTACTATTCTTGTTGACACCTTCCTACTTTTGATAAATTGGTTGTGATAAAGATGCAACTCGTTTTTACCGTCCTACCATTATCAGATTAGTGTTAATCTTGTTGTTCATTCTGTTATCAAAGTCTTTCCTCAATCTAAATATTTTGGGAATCTTAAGAACTCTTTTGGCTCTAACTAGACACATGGCATACGTACAGCACTTGTTCGTGAGTTGAATTATCGCCAAATTATGTGCTTTCTGTTTTGTCCATGTTGTTTAGAGCCTCTGATGTGTTTCGTGCCTTTCAAGCAACAGTTTTTTAAGCTCTCCTTTTTTCTCTTTAACCATGATCCCATAGTTGAATTTATTATGAAATGCAAGTGCTTTTTACTACAGCAATCCACTAGATACTCATTTAAAAATGTGGCTCTTCAGGAAAGATGTTATAATTTGTTTGTGCTACAGAAACTTCTGCAGCTTTTCATTCTATCGAGCGGCCCTCAACTCGCTCTTTTTCTTTGCTTCTGGGAAGTTCGTCTCATCTTTCCCCTGATTCCGAGAAATTGGTGGAACCTTTCAGAGCATTGAGACACTCAAAACAAGTTTTTGTCACTTTCTTGCAGGAAATAAGACAGCTATGCTCCTATCTCTTGGACCTCAAGAAAGCTTCTGCTGAGGAAATGCGGAGAAGTGTTTATGCTAATTATACAGCATTTATAAAGTGAGTTCACAAGTTCATCATGCACTGGATTAGCGGTGACCAACAGTGCATGTTAGCCTATTGTTTTCTAAGCCTATCATGGTACCAGAAGATAGTTAAGGAAAAGAAATCTGATGATAGGCAGTTGATTACCTTGGGGATTCACTAATTATTTCTGTTTATTATTCCTCTTGCAGAACATCCAAAGAGATATCAGATTTAGAGGGGGAGCTTCTGTCCATTAGGAACTTGTTGTCGACTCAAGCTACCTTAATCCATGGATTAGCTGATGGAGTTCATATCGAATCCTCATCTACCAACATGCCGGAAGGCTCAACTGAAAATGTTCCATCAGATTTTGAGGACAGAGAGCCTTCAAATTTGGAGAGGTGGTCAGTAGAATTTCCTGATCTCCTTGATGTTTTATTAGCTGAGAGGAGAATTGATGAAGCTCTGGCAGCCCTTGATGAGGGAGAACGTGTAGTTGCTGAATCAAAAGAAACAAAAGCTCTGAGCACAACTTTACTTGCTTCACTACAGACAGCTATAACTGAACGTAGAAACAAATTAGCAGATCAGCTTGCTGAATCTGCTTGCCAACCTTCAACACGCGGTAGCGAACTTCGCGCCGCAATATCTGCTCTCAAGAACCTTGGGGATGGACCTCGAGCTCACACTTTGCTTCTTAATGCACATTTTCAAAGGTATCATTATAACATGCAAACCCTTCGTCCATCAAGCACCTCTTATGGAGGGGCATATACAGCTGCCCTTTCCCAGCTGGTATTTTCTGCTATTGCACTAGCTGCCAGTGATTCTTTAGCTATTTTTGGCAAGGAGCCAGCTTATACTTCTGAGCTTGTGATGTGGGCAACAAAGCAAGTAGAAGCTTTTGCTCTTCTTGTTAAAAGACATGCACTGTCTTCATCAGCAGCTGCTGGAGGTCTACGAGCTGCTGCGGAATGTGTTCAGATTGCTTTAGGACATTGTTCATTGCTGGAAGCTCGTGGCCTTGCCCTTTGCCCAACCCTCCTAAAGCTGTTCAGGCCTAGTGTTGAGCAGGCATTAGAGGCTAACTTGAAAAGAATTGAGGAGAGCACCGCTGCTCTGGCCGCTGCTGATGATTGGGTTCTCACTTACCCTCCTACTGCCACGCGCCAATCTGGCAGGCTATTGAGTGCTTCTGTCGGGAACACTACTGCATTTCAACATAGACTCACCAGTAGCGCGCATCGTTTCAATTTAATGGTCCAGGTGAAGGGTTTTTCCCCGTGAACTCTTACCTTGTAAATGTTTTATTGAATTGGTCCTAATAACTTTCTACTAGCTTGATGTTACATTTGTTTCCTTGCAATTTAAAATGTTGTTGTCAACAATCAAATGAATCGAGATAGTCACCTGAGTGTATTGCTTTCCTGAAATATTGATCCTGAATAGTAGTGACAAGTGTGACCTTATCACACAATTCTTCTTGTGCCAGTGGGTGGTCAATGGAGGTGGTTTTTTCATTGACTTTAGAACTATTATTGGTCAATTGGAAGTGCCAATTTCGTCCCAACACATCCATCCGGCTAATGCCTCTTTGTCAATTTTATCTCCTCTAAGTTCCCATTCCTCTCTTTTTCCTTTCTTATTATCTTTTTGGATGGGTAGGGTGTAGGAGGTTGGTTGCTATAAGTCTGGCGCATAGCTTTGATAGTTAAAAGCACATTCTGTGGATATGTCCGCACGAACAGATATTCTGATTCCTTATTCTCCTTATGGAGCAACGTAGCACTAGGTGCTAGAGATCTCTGCCGCTCACATCTTCTTGCAAATTCTCATCCTGCGTGAGCTTTTTTCCTTATCATTGTTGATCTTTGTTATTCCTAGCTGGTGTTCATTTTTCTCTTTAGAATTCTGTCGGACTTCTTTTAATTACCAATGGTTGACTCCTCTATCTCAACAGGATTTCTTTGAGGATGTAGGGCCATTACTAAGTATGCAATTGGGAGGTCAAACACTGGAAGGTCTATTTCAGGTATTTAACGCCTATGTGAACATGCTCATAAAAGCTTTACCTGGTTCAATGGAGGATGAAGCCAATTTTGAAGGCTCTGGGAATAAGATTGTGCGGCTGGCTGAGACTGAAGATCAGCAGATTGCTTTGCTGGCAAATGCATCATTATTGGCAGATGAGCTACTCCCCCGAGCAGCTATGAAGCTTTCTCCACTGAATCAGTCTCATTATAAGGATGATTTCCATAGAAGACCAGCAGATAGACAAAATCGTCATCCTGAACAAAGAGAATGGAGGAGACGGCTTGTGAGCTCAGTTGATAGACTAAAGGACACCTTCTGTCGGCAACATGCTCTGGATCTTATATTCCCTGAGGAAGGTGACAGCCATCTTACTGCAGATATGTACATAAATATGGATGGAAATGCAGATGAAATCGACTGGTTCCCTTCTCTACTTTTCCAGGTATTGTTTGAATGATAGGTACCTTCTTTGTCATTTTTCAAGTCAAATTTAGAAAAATTATGGTTGTGCTCTCTTTCCACTTGTTTCTAAAAATGACATTATACTTCTTTTTTTCCCATGAGTTTTGAATAATAAATCATGGATTGGAATTGCAACTGAGTCAAGCAAACTGAGCTGGTCTTTGAATCACACCTTCTGTAATTTGCGTCCCTTAGTTCATCACTTCATTTGGAGTGTGACCAGATGATGCTACTTGGATAGCATCTCAATGCATACAAGTGTGCACGTTTACTCAAGAGCTATGTTTGTTTTTAGTGAAAATTCACTATGAGACAAAGAACAATCCGTTTTGTGGGCATTTATCCCGTGCAAGGCTTGACGAGAAGTATTCTAGGTGCTGTGGTCTACAGGTGCATCATGCCATTGTTTGAATTACAGCTGCATTTGTCAGTATCATTAAAAATTTTGGTCTCTCACTGCAATATTTGCCTGATGTATTTTCTGCTTGTCGACATCTCTGTCGCTTGTTTCTCATGAGGTTCATGTTCAAAATCCGGGCTCTTAGTTTAAGATAAAAGGATAGTTGTTTAATGGTGACCTTCAATGTGGAATCATTTTTGAAATTTGTGAAATTTTACTTTTGGTTGTCTAATGAAAGAGGTCAACAGCAGGCAAGGGGCACTTATCCTGCAAGATTCCTGCAGCTCTGCTCTGCTGTTTGAAAAACAATAGGACAAGGAAAACCCCATTAAAAGAGTTATTACTTTCTACTGATTGGTTGATCCTGGGTTGAGCAGTTCCTGATTCCTAAACACTCAAAGACCAAATTCACAATTTATTTATTTATTGAGCTGGTTTTCTTATCTGATGAAATGGGATTTATGGTCCAAAAACACTCGGTCAAAGGCTGAATTTCCCACTTAATTTTTTTTTCGGGGTTTTGTTTAATTATTCATGTGCTTTGTTCTTATGATATGTGATTGCTGCAATACAGGAGCTGTTTGCAAAATTGACGAGGATGGCCATTATGGCTGCAGAAATGTTCGAGGGCAGGGAACGGTTTGCCACATTGTTATTGATGAGACTAACAGAAACCGTCATCCTATGGCTCTCTGAAGACCAGAGCTTTTGGGACGACATTGAAGAAGGGCCAAGACCTTTAGGTGCTGTTGGTCTGCAGCAGGTACTTGAGGGTGACTTTCATGCAAGTAATTCTCCTTTTATGGGCAAAATAATTGGTTTGACTTTTTCCTTTTAATTTCCACAAATGCAGTTTTATTTGGATATGAAATTTGTCATATGCTTTGCCTCCCAAGGCCGATATTTGTCACGGAATTTGCATAGAGTTGTCAATGAGATCATATCAAAAGCCATTGCAGCATTTTCTGCTACAGGAATGGATCCATACAGGTACAACATTGAATATTCTTCGTTTGTGTTAGTTTTCCATTGCTTGATCATATAATTCTATGTGAGCTATCGACTTTGAAGAGGGAAGGATCTTGGTGTTTATTAAACCATCTCCTTTACAAGTTAAAATTTTAGAAAAACAATAAATTTGTTATGCTGGCAGAGGACGTCGATTGTTTTTTGTCTCAAGATCGGTACTTTTCAGTCGATAGCAAATTTTCTAATGCAAATGCCATGGATTTGAGCAAAGCAAGCCTTGCTTCCTGAGGCTAAAATCTTATTATGTTTGCAGCGTGCTACCTGAAGATGACTGGTTCAATGACGTTTGTCAAGATGCAATGGATAGACTGAGTGGAAAACCTAGAGCCATCAATGGAGACAGAGAACTTAACAGCCCAACCGCCTCTGTTTCAGCACAGTCAATCTCATCAGTTAGGTCTCATGGAAGTTCTTGAACGGACTTGTCTCAGATCTGTATATTACCAAAGGAAAGGGAAAATTAGGTTTGTGTGATGCAATTCTTGTATCAATAGTCAGCAAATTTTTGCCTCGCCGTTTTTCTTTCGACTTCGTTGCAGTAGCGTTCTCTTTAGTTGTAGAGCATGACGTATGATACTATGGTTAGGGATTCTTTCCTCTGGGTCAATGAGAACCTGACATTGTAAATGTTTTATTTGCGTGGTTACCACAATTTTATTATTCTTTGAATGCTGGAGCTCATCGATGGATTAAGCAATCCTTGGAGCCTTGTGTGTTTGTTGTCGAACGAAGTGAATCTTCTTGTTAACAGGAAGCTTGATTTGCGCATCTGGATCGATAATCAAGCAAGAACCTCCAACTCATCTGCTAATTATCACAGTTCCAAGGTACCCAGACTCTTTCAACGTTTGCAGGGTATGACGTGGTACCACTTTTTGTTGACTATAAAAGTTAACTGTTTGGGATTGGGAGCAACTCTTTCAATCTTGAACTCATCTGCTGAGTACCTTGGACCTATAAAGACGCCAACGGATGCATAGTTCTTCAATATGTCCAAACTAAAATATTGTTTTGATTTCGATGGCAAAGGTCGATGAATAATTCAAAAGAGAAGCAGCAGGCTGACTTACACCCCTTTGAGATGCTAAGATAGTTTCATGCTTCTTGATGCTAATACATTAAAATGTTAAATTGATTTTATGAGTTTAATATCGACTGATGAACAAAATAAAAGTATCGCTCGTCAACAGATTCCATTATTCGATCATTATTTTGAATATCGCCTTGAATTTTCTGAGGGATAAAATGAGAGATGTGGATAAAAGGGAGAGGATCGATGAGAATCTGTTTTGCTAAATTTTATTTCCTCGACAACGTGCCGACGTCCATCATTTGTTGCATCGTCTTACCGGCTTCTATCAAAACGCAAGATTACATGAATCTGAAAAACCAAAATCTACCACATTAAACTGAGCTACCTTTGTTTCTCTTGGGTACATTTGCTTTCAATAGTTGGTTAACAACATCCATCATGTTAGGTCTCCTGCTCGGCTCCTTTTCGATACACCTCAAAGCAACCAAAAGCACCTCAGCAACTTGTTCCATGATATTGGTATCCAGAAATTCTTCTGCGAGGCTCGGATCGATGATCTGATTGATATCCTGTGTGCTATTATTCCAAACCGACCTCACCCAACCTACAAGGTCTGAGTCGGTAAATGAGGGATCCACCGCTTTTTGCCTCGTTAGCAGCTCGAGCAGAACCACCCCGTAACTGTACACATCAGATTCCCTGCTCATTTTCGTCATGAACGCGTTTTCTGACATGAAAATTAGAGACATCCAAAATTAGTGCACCGTAAAAAGAACAATACAAATGAAGACCAGAAGGAAGAAAGAAACAGAAGATACCGGGTGCCATGTACCCAACCGTTCCCGCAACGGCCATGGAAGGTGTAGCAGAAGCAGAATGATCGAGAAGCTTGGCGATACCAAAATCCGATATGTGGGGCTCCATATCTGAATCAAGGAGTATGTTTTGTGGCTTGATGTCCCGATGAATCACGGCAGGATTGCAATCAAAGTGGAGATACGCCAGCCCATGAGCAGTTCCAACTGCTATCTTGTACCGGACATTCCATTCTAGGGACAGTCGGGGACATTTCTCATGTAAAACATCATGCAGGCTTCCATTCTCCATGTAGCGATACAAAAGGAAGCCATAATCCTTTCGCAGCCAAAAATCTTCCAATTTGACCAAGTTCCGGTGCCTCAAGGTTCTCATCGTTTGGATTTCTCTAATTATGCTTGATTTCCCTCCTTTATATGCTCCAAATGCAAGCTTCTTCAGTGCGTAAACTTTGTCTGGACTTAAAGAAGCTTTGAAAACGACTCCATGGGCTCCTCTGCCAATAATATACCTCTGGTTGAGCTTTTCAGTAGCTTCCATCACTTTATTTAGCAGAGAAGTCGAGCCATCTTGAACAGAGATCTCATTTTCCTGGTGTCTCCTTCTGCGCGAAGTAACCAGGAAAACTAATCCAACAATCACAAAAACAGAAAATAGAGAAGAAGCCAGAGCTATCAAGACAGTTGCACCTGTTGTTAGGTTTTTCCGGTCTCTTGGACTGTCACAAGGACTGAGACCACCACTCCCGGAGCAAGTAACTGAACCAGATGGACGACATCTGACACATAGACCAGAGTTTCCCAAAAAAGAAGACACAGTTGAGTTCAAATGGATCAGGTTTGGTATCGGACCTGTGAAGAGATTATATGAGACATTTAGCTCAATTAACGAATCAAGTTCTTCGAGGACTGCTAAACTTCCAGAAAGATTATTGTTTGATATATCCAGCCTCTGGAGCACGATCAAGTTCCCAATTTCTGAAGGAAGTTTCCCCATTAATCTGTTATCGCTTAGATCCAAAGCATACGTTAGACTCTTCAGTGATCCAATCGAAGAGGGAATTTCACCTCCTAACAAATTCCCGCCCATTTGTAGCTCTAACAACTTTCCGAGGTCCATCAAAAAAAGTGGAATGCCTCCGTCGAAACGGTTTTTCGTCAAAATGAGTGTTGACAAACTTGTCCAATTCCTCAAACTTGACGGAAGTGAACCATTCAATAGATTGAACCCAACGTCAAAAGTTTCCAATCTTTTACAGCGTGACAGCTCAGATGGCAAAGGACCTTCCAGATTGTTGTGAGAGAGATTTAGCATGACAAGGTTTGTAAGGTACCCTAGCTCCGGAGGTAGAAATCCTGTGAGTTTGTTCGTGGACAAGTTGATGGTGGTAAGATTGCTACAGTTAGCCAAGCTAGAGGGGATGCTCCCACTGATGCTGTTTTTGCTGATATCCATCAGCAAAAGGTTAGGTATCCTTGAAAATTCTGTCAAGACCCCGGTAAAGTTATTTTCTTTTAGGATCAACCTCCTCAGACTCGAACAGCTTCCTACATCAGAGGGTATGCTACCTTGAAGTTGATTCACACCGAGATTCATCACTTCCAATTTCCTTCCCCAGCACAGATGGGGCGGCATCGGGCCAGTGAACTTGTTATTAATGAAATCCAACGCCAGTAAACTACTATTAATACCCAAACTCTGAGGGATGACTCCAGAGAAATGGTTATTGAACAAAGAAACGTTCTTCAAGTTCTTGAGCTCGGTTATCTCCAGTGGTAGCTCTCCTGAGAGAGAATTGTTATAGATCAAAAGGTTCTTCAGGGATGGAATCTTCCAGATGCTAAGTGGAATCTCACCGCTCAAGCGATTCTCAAACAACTGGAGATCTTCTAGCTCACTGATGTCGCCGATTTCCTGAGGGATATCCCCTTCAAGTTGGTTCGAGTACACTTGCAAGCTTTTCAAGGACTTGCACTTGCCAAGTTCAGGAGGCAATTCTCCGGACAATTGATTCTCAGAGAGATAGAGAAAAGAGAGTCTCTCTAGCTGGCCTAACGTAGACGGTATGTTTCCGGTCAAGTTGGCACTTACGGCGGCTAAAGTAGTTAGATTGCTGCAATTGCCCAATTCCAGTGGAAGACCCCCGTTGAAATTGTTGAATGACAAGACCAGAGTGTCCAAATTCTCGCAACGGCCTGAACCCAAAGGGATCTTCCCTTCAAAGTTATTCCCACTAACATCTAAATAAACGAGGTTATCCAGAGCACCAAGGGTTCGCGGCAAAACTCCTACGAGCTCATTCCCAGTCAAAATGAGTTCTTGTAATTTACTACAATTTCCAATAGAATCGGGAATGGCACCTGACAAATGATTATCATACAACCAAAGAGCCGAGACCTCTCTCATATCGCCAACGGTCTTAGGAATGGAACCACTCAAATTGTTCGAGTACAGGTACAAATACTCTAGACTTGGAATTCGAAACAATGACTCAGGTATCTCGCCGGCCAGCGAGTTCGAGTACAAGCGCAAGGAGCTCAAATTCCGAAGCCTGCTCAAGTCGTCCTTAATTTCCCCAGTGAACCCATTTTGGGACATGTCCAAGTATTGAAGATGGGTACAATTTCCCAACTGAGACGGAATCTCACCGGTGAAATTGTTGTCACTAAAATCGAGGACATTCAAGTGGGTCAAGTACCCGATTTCAGGTCCTACACGACCCGAAAGCCCATAGCTCGAGAGGTTCAGAGAGACCACATTGTGAGCAGAGTCACACTCTACACCGACCCACTTACAGGGGGTGGGATCAGAGGAGTTCCAGCTAGAGCTTATAGCGAAGGGCACGTTAGTCCAGTGAGCCATGAGCGAGCGTAGTGGAGGGAGGCCATCGGGGCTCAAAGAAGAGACGGTGAGTGCCGGAACAGAGAAGCAAAGTAAAAGGAAGAAACGGGCGAGAACGAGCTCCATCATTCGAGAAGAGATGAGAGTCTTGTAGAGGAACTTTGAGGAACTCACCCGGATGCTAGCCGCAGCTTTCTGAGAAGACCCAGCTCCTGAATTCTCGCTTGGAATAGCTTTACCCTGTCCTCCTCCCCCTACTTAAAGAAAGTTTCTAGCAATGCAGGGTTGAGAGAGGACAGAGAGAGAGAGAGAGAGAGAGACGGTATATCGGTAGGGGGGGAGGCAATAGATATAGGAGAAACAACTGCAAAGTTCGGATTTTAATGCTGGTAGCGAAGAGGCACAAAAGTCGCTGCTGGTCCCATTTCTCTCAGCTTCTGCATCTGTACCGTAGTCCGTGAAAAATTGACTTTTTCGAACCATTCTCATTCGAAGGTAGTTAGTTAGTTACTCAGCACTCCCACGAAATGACGCTTGGTTTTCAACATGCAGAAGAACACTTCTTTCTTTTGCGCACTCGCAGTTCAACTTCCATTATCTCTGCAGAAAAAGCGAATCGAGAAATTTCTTCGCGTCTTCGTTTTATGCATATAATATTTCAAGATCTTGGCGCAACGCCATCGAACCATAGTGCCCGATAACCCAAGCCCAAAAAGTGGCAATTAGGTAAGGCCCGCGTTTCTGCCATTGAAATAAAATAAGCTAGCTCTCTCTCTCTCTCTCTCTCTCTCTCTCTCTCTCTCTCTCTCTGCAACTTCAATGGCGGTTCTGGGAAACAAAAGTTCTCCCTGTCGCTGTCGGATTTCAGTTTACCTTTCCTCGAAAGTGTTCTGCTTTTGGACATGGCCTTTCAGTTCAACCTTCTTTGTCGTTTCCCAAAGGCGAAGCTCGCGCACCCTCGTCCACTACAAAAAGACTGCAAATTTGACGCCGTACTTGACCATAATCCAAAGGTAACAGAGGTTCACACTGACCAAGGAGGATGCAGAGGGGTGCTACCCTCCACTCGCTTGGACACACCCTCTTGGACACTGCCTATCTGGTTGGGCCGCGTGGCCAAGAGGGTCACACAGAATATGGGCAAGCTCTCTCCGGTCCTACGGGCCGGTCCGGTTCGGTTCCTGTCTTTTTGACACCACGTGAAATTAGGCTACCTCATTGTGCTAGACGCACATATGTGAATTTGCTGATGCAGCACGGATGTGAATTTCGGCTATCTCTTTTGTACCCTCAAATGGTAAAATGCGAAAAATGGGTGTAACCAACTTTAACCGCGCATACGATTTGTATCATTTTTTTCGGATCATGTTGATAAAATGTTTCTAAAGTACTACTTAAGTTAATTAACGGGAAATGATCTTAATAGTTCTTAAATTTTTGACTCAATGTGCAATGCCATTTTTAAACTTATAATTCGTTCAATGTGGTCGTTAAACTCTTTCTAGATGTTTAATTTAGTTCATAAACTTTCAATTTGTTCAATACAATTCTTCAAATTCCAAAATAAAGTTAAATCGGTTCTTCGGCACTATTCACGAGTTTATATAATTGCGCTACTGCACGAATTTTAGAACACTATTCAATTTTAGTCCTATTTGGTCTTCATAAGTGTAATAATAGTTCCATTGAAGTATATTGTAGCTTATGATCTCTATAATAGTAAGTAGAACCTCATTTAGAGTTGTATCGGATTGATATTCTTGCTATTTTAATTTCCTATACACAAAAACGAGGAGATTTTATTTATTTAAGAAATTAGGAACAAGATTTAGATTAATACGAATACGAATATCTATAGGTAGATTAATATTGTTTTTAGATTTCCTTATGGAAAGATTTACTCTTAAACTAAAAGGACTCGATACAACTCCAAATGACGTTCTACTTTCTATAATAGACGTCATAAGCTAATATATACTTAAATAAATGGAACAATGACAATATTTATAAAGACCGAAATGGTAATAAAATGATAGCTCATATTTCAAAAATTTAGAAATAGGATCAAAATGAAAAGATATTCTAGAATCCGGGCAATAGTGTGGTTATAAAAAATGTGCATAGTATCGAAGGATTGATTTGATTTTGTGGGAGCTGATGGACTAAATTGAATATGTAGGAATAGTTTAAGGATCACATTGAACGAATTAGAAGTTCGATAACAATATTGCACATCGGTTAAAAGTTTATGGACATTTAGTGTCATTTTTCCTTAACTAAATGTAAATCGCATTTTTCAAAAAATTTTTTTATAAATTCAGGAATTACACATTTTTAAAAAAAATTTCACATACAAAATCTTACATTTTGAAGGGTAAAAAAAAAAACCCCAAGAAAGACTACACAGCAGCAACAGGAATCTATCAATAAAAAGTTACCAGAGAAACCGGCGGCTGTAAGTTCCCGGTGAAGTTAGATCCCGACAATGGCCACGCGGCGCGTTAAAAAGTAGCGAGTGTACCTGCGCGAGTATACACCTGCGAGTGGCCCTAGCATTCCACCGAGGAATCCATCTACCCAATGTGTCCCCCGCTGTCGGAATCCGCTGCACGAATCCCTCGCGGTAATTTACTGTGGGCTGACGCTGAGGATGACGTCGTCCCAGCAAAAAAGAGCCGAAAATTGCAACCGACCATATTTAATCAATTTGCGGAAATGCGAATCACGAGTTGCGTGTTTAAAAATATGCAATCAAGAGTCCTACACGCCTTTCTATCGGGTGCAATTTGACTGTTCCGGCAAACTGACGCAGCACGCAAAAGTCCGACCTGACTTTTTTTCTTTAGATGGGTGCACTGAAAATCTTAAAATTTATCAGAAAATTATAATTAAGTCCTAAGACTTAAAAAAAAATACAATCAAGTCCTAAAATTTAGTACAGTCGAGTCCTAGAACTTTCAAAAAGTGCAATCAACGGAATGACCTAATTGGACCAATTGTACATATTTCAAGGACCTGATTGCACTTTTTGAAAACTTTAGACCTCAATTGCACTTTCGTGATAAGTTTTTTGATTCCATTGCACTTTTTGAAAGTTTTAGGATTAAATTACACTTTCACGATAAGTTTTAAGATTTTCGATCCACTCATCCTTCTTTTTTATAATACTTTTTTAAATTAGGCCATGTCGGAAAGTGAAAATTAATTGAGGTTCAAAAGTCTAACACGGATTAATTTTTTTTGGTGGGGGCATAACAACAAGGATGGGGTTGTTAAAAAGGATCAATTAAAATTGTCCCAACTTTGGTTTGACTAACAACTGACAAAGGGGTTAGTTTTGCACTAATCAAATGGCTATAAAGCAGCTTCACCCCTAGACAAGGTAATCCAGACGTATTTTGAAATTAATTGTGCACCATGACCCTACTATTAGTCAGCACGCGTGCTTGTATAGAAAAATCACGCTCAATTAGGTATTTTACTAACATTAGGAGAAGATGAATTTAATATTTTGTTAGACATATTAATATCTTTTTGCTGAAAATTGCATATCATCGATCAAAACCAAAGAACTTAAGACGATGAAAGAGAAATTACGTTGTCGAAAAGGGATAAACAAGAACACCAAAAAGAGTTATCAAATAGGTATTTTACCAACAATAAGAGAAGAGAAATATACAATTAAATAAATGAGGTTGATCCCTTTCGATTTGCTACTATTTCGCCAGACTTTCTCCCGCGATGAAATATTTTTCATTGAAATGGTTCTTTCATTTTTATTAAAGGGGATTGGGGTTCTTCGGTTTTTACCTTACTGATTCGCATTGCACTTGTTTTTCTTGCTTAAATAACCTTTACGTACGTAATAAATTCTTTTGTTCATAAATAATTTGCGCAAATGCAAATCAAGAATTGCTTGTTTAAAAATATGCAAGCAAGTCCTGCACGCCTTTCTATCGAGTGCAATTTGATATGCCAAGTGCAATTTGATAGTTCCGGCAAATTGAGGAAGCGACGTGACCTTTTTTTTTTTTTAAAATAAGTACACTGAAAATCTTAAAACTTATCAGAAAAACATAATTGAGTCCTAAGACTTCAAAAGGTACAATCCAATCCTCAAACTTAATGCAATCGAGTAAAAAAATGCTATCCAATCTTAAAACTTATCACGAAAAAGCAATCGAGCCCTAAAACTATCATAAAATGCAATCAATGAAATGGCCTAATTGGACCAATCATACATATTTTAGAACTTGATTGCACTTTTTGAAATTTTTAAGCCTCGATTGCACTTTCATGACAAATTTTAGAATTTCATTGTACTTTTTGAAAATCTTACGATTAAATTGCACTTTTATGATAAGTTTTAGGGTTTCCGATACACTCATCCTTTTTTTTTTATAATACTTCCTAATTTAGGCCATGTTGGCAAGTGAAAATCAATTGAGGTTAAAAAGTCTAACACGGATTAATTTTTTTGGTGGGGGCATAACAAGTATGGGGTTGTTAAAAAGGATCAATCAAAATGTCCCCACTTTGGTTTGACTAACAACTGAAAAAGGGTTAGTTTCGCACTAATCAAATGGCTATAAAGCAGCTTCACCCCACAGACAAGATTATCCAGACGCATTTAGAAATTAATTGGGCACCATGACCCTATTAGTCAGCACGCGTGCTTGTAAAGAAAAATCACCCTCAATAGGAGAAGATAAACTTAATATTTTCTTAGATATATTAACATTATTTTTGTGAAAGATTGCATATTATCAATCAGAATTTTTATCGTAATTTCGTTATTTTCCAGCTACATAGCCGTGGTAATTTTCTGCATTTTTATCGTAATTTTGTAAAATGTCCAAGTGAGACGGTATATAACAACTTTTTGATGATAAAAATCTTTGCCTGCTTTGTTGCCAATGAAAGTCTTGACGAATAAATTAAGACAAAAATAAACTAAAAGGACTCCCCCTAATAATCATCCAATATGTCTACAGAGTAGAGATGTAAGCTTCACTACTCTCTGTTTTCTTCTTCTTTTTCCTCTTTTTTTGGCTGCAGAATACAATCCAAAATTTACGATACCGCAAAACGAAGCTTATACCATGGCGTCGTGAGCGGCACGCTCGACTCTATTAATCAGAAAGGTGGATGCATTACTAGCTTCAAAGGCTCCACTTTCTCTCATCGTAAAAGAAATTACAGGACTAGCTAATCTATAAAGATGAGGGTGAGATACCTAGCAGCAAGTAATGGGAGTGTCAATCGCAACCACCGGCGATCGGGCAGCGCATCTGCATATAATAGAGAACCGCCCCGCATTCTCTGTACATTGAGTGTAAAAGGAAGACCCTACTGGCACGTAGGAAAAGAGTCGTGAGCAAAACAGATAAAAAAATTTGGATTAATTACTTTAAGGAATGCAACCTATTAGCTAACTAACAAATGCAGAATCATAGCAGGTACTCATAAAGTCCATTTCTAGTTTTCATGTGCCAAGCCACAGCACAAGGTCACCATGTTACGAAGGAAGATTTCCGCGAAGGAACAAGAAATTACCTTACGAGACCTGAATTATTGAGACATAACATCAATGAACTCTTGGGGTTCTTTGCGACGGCATGGAGCAATCAACTCTCGTCCTGAAATATCAAGAGAAATCAATTCAACATTCAGTGAAGTAAATCAACACTGGCAGAAAACCTTAACAACTTTTCAAAATTAGCCATGAACAAGACCCTCGCACCACTTCCAAGTATTACCCCTCCATCTCCGATGCGCCAAGAAAACAAATAAGGAAAAGATACCAATGAAGATAGGCAATAAAGACCTCCAACACCAGAACATGGGCAGAATTGAGGTTGCTCTGCATGGACCAAATCGCAAGTTCCATTAATATTAGGATTTTCTGCATCATTAACACCTGCAGCAGATTGCAGTCCAGCAGAAGCAATTTCACATGAAGAGAAAGATACTTCAGATCTCTCCACAACATCAGGCTGGCACAAAACGAGTTGATATTTTCTGAAGTATCTTCCTACAAGTATCAATTGCTGCTAAAAGGATCTTGATGGAAGTCGAATCAGGTGTAGATTGCAAATATCATTGTCACATGACTCGCACCGACCATTTCAACAGAAACTCAAGTACCTGGAGCCAAGGAGGAAGTTACAACTGCTGTGGAAGAGGATCCATGACAAACAAGTTTTGAGTAAAAAAATAACAACTAGCTTGTCATGCTTCGGTCAACAAGTTGCACAACAACATGCCAGTCCAAAATTTACACCAACTCTTAATCACTGAAAATTACGAAAAAATAAAAGAATCTCCATAAATTTTATAACTAACCTTCATGGCAACAGATTACTTCGTCCAACCCTTTCACCTTAATTTATGCAAGGAAATCTTCTATCGATTGATCAAGACACCATTTCAACCACTCCAGTGTACACAACCCTGTCAAGTCTCCCTTCTCAGATAGCACCATCACATTGTAGATGTTTTTATCTGCTACGGAAATGCCAATATGCAAAACTAAACAGCATTAACCAAGTTTTCTAAGTTCATCACCAAAACACGTAGAAAATAGGAGAGACTGATGTGATCCTGGACTAGTGAAAAACCACAAAGAAGAAAGGTACCTCAATATCATCCCCCAAGATATATACCATTGACAAGCAGATTTTCCTCGGTACTAATAATCACAGGTTGCTGTCGCTTTAGCTCTGTACTTCGTCCACTAATCATTCCTCAACCCACTGAAACAGCCATGTCTGACATGTCCTCAGAGGATGATGCGTCTAAAGACAAATTACTTTCTGAAAGGCTTAAGGGAACCAAAGAATGTATATCTCCTCCTATACATGCATCCTGCACAAGTCCATGACTACATAATGAAATTTCCTCAGCAGGAAACAATCCCAAATCTCTCATCTCAATTAACAGACCAAAAGCCAAACGTGAACCACGTGATCTGGAAAGAAAACTACATATCCTATTAATATTGTTACTGCTTAACAATATCCTCCCATCAACCATTTCGCGCAGTACCTGGGTCACCATTTTGGCATCTTTATCTTTGCAAAAACCAGAGACCATCATATTATACACTTGCATATCAGGAGATATGCCAACCCCCTTCATCTCATCATACAAGGCAGTAACTTCATGACCTCTACCACCCCTAAAAAGCCCACGAATGGCCACTGTGTAGGATACAACATCCACCTCATATTTCTCCTCTACGGCTTTTCTGAAAAATCTAATTGCTTGATGGCATTTACCAACTTTAATTAGACCATTGATGATGGTTGTATGTACATGAGCATCAAGATCAGAACCACTCCTTACAATACCATTATACACATTTAGTGCTTCATCAATTCTTCTTGCTCCACAAAGTCCGCTCAACAATCCAACAAAACTGTACTTGTCTGGTGTGAAACCACTATCGATCATAACGTCATACAAATCTACAGCCAGGGATGGTAAACCAGCCTCGCAAAAGTAACTCAAAAGAGAGTTATAAAGCACTAGGTCTGCCTCAATGTCAAGTCCATTCACTAACTCGGGCATAAGAGAGAACCTCCTCGAACGACAAAGGGTCGTCAACAATGAGCAGATAGTGTAAGAATCAGGTACCAGATTTCGTTCGGACAGACTAATGAAAATACAAAGCGCATCATCAAACCGCCCATTCTTACAGAAACAATCTATGAGTACATTACAAAGAACCAAGTCAGGAGCATTCCCTTTTGACTCCATGACACTTAATATCTTTACTGCACGATTAACCATCTGGGATTCCATGAATCCTTTTATTAGAGTAGTGTAAGTAACAACATTAGGGGTACAGCCACTTTCACCCATCTTCTCCAACAAATATCCCGCCATATCAAATCGCTGAAGCCGACAAAACCCATTTATTAAGATGCTCCACGCATTTACAGATACAGCACCGCCCATCGTTATCATGAGTGTCAACACTTGAGTTGCCTCTACTAACCTACACTTCTTTACAAAAGCATTTAAAACCATCTCAAGCGTCGCGATATTGGGATAAAAACCACTCTTCAACATACTTCTGACAACATCCCTTATTTTACCGGGCTCATCTACTTTACACAAATTACACAACGCAATATTAAAAGATAAAAAGTTCGGAACCTGGGTCTGCTTCAAGACCTCGAGAGCAACATCAACCCGTCCAATCTTGAACAGCACGTCCATCAATACGTTGCGCGCGAACGTGTTGGGAGTGAAACCGAACCTCCCCATTTGCTCGAAAGCCTCGAGGACCGACTCATACAATCCTCCACGCCAGTAAATCCTCAACAGAAGGAGCAAAGTCTGCGCCTTTATCGCGCACCCGATACTCTCCAGCTCCCCAACGATGCAGCTCACGGACCCGTGGCGATCCCCGAGGCGCGCTACCACGCCAACCATGCGATCAAACGAACGCCGATCGTGAAAATAACCGGGCTGCTCTGCGCACCACAGGAAGAATCTCAGAGCAATCAAATCGGAGGGGCAGCTCGATAGGGCGGAGCACACGACGTCGGGCGTCAGAAGGGGCCTGTTCTTCTCGGAAACTTGGCGAATTCGACGGCGATTTTCTCGGGAAGAAGAGGCGCGAGCTCCGCGAACGGAGGATTGAGCCGGCGACGGAAGAGGGAGATCGACGAGGGACGCGGAGGGGAGGCTCCGAAGGGCGTGGATTCGAGCACAGCGACGCGATGTCCATCGGAATCGCCATAACATTGCTCGCCCGAATTCATACCATGAGAGCTCGCGCAGGGGAGGGGGACAACTGTGGATTGCTACGAAAAAGAGGGAGAGAGAGAGAGAGAGAGAGAGAGAGAGAGAGAGAGGTTCAGGGTTTTTGCATCTGTTAAACCCTAGTAGACAGAGCAAGGATTTTGCATTTTTTTTTGTTCCCCCGCTTTGGATAGGTATACCAAAAGTCCTAAAATTAAAGGCGAAAATGCAAGTCTTAAAATTTTCGAATAATGCAATCGAGTTCTAAAACTTGTAATTTCGGTATAATTAAATTTATGTGTTAATTCCGTCTAAATTGATGGATGGAAAATTATGACGTGGCTTTATATATGGATTTTTCTATCTTTTGTGGCCGTTTACTTGACTGAATCGTTTAATGCGGATAAAAACAACACCGTTTCTTCCCCTTTTTAACCCTTCAAAATGGCATCCGCTGTGTAAATACTAAGCTCCAGATCGTATTGCAATCCCCGATTTTAGTGTGACTTGTGCTAAAGCCAAATCGAAGAATGGCAACCAAAAGAATGAGGGTATTAATGTCTAAATCGAGTGGAGTAACTCGGAGCTAACCTGCTATCATGGTCTTCAATCACCAATCACCACGACAAAGATAAGGGAAAAGGTAGAAAGAAGGGTTCCGTGATTGTGTTTAGTTCGATGATTCGGGTTTCTACCATCTTTTCATTTGGGTTAATCAGAAGATATTAAATTGAGTAAGGGAAATGATACTCGACCTCCTTGAAAGGAATTAAGCACTGTGCGAATCAAGCCAGTTGAGGCACAACAAGGTCAATGTGAGCTCATCGTTTGCTGAAATCAAGACTCAAAAGGTAAATTATAGACAGTTTAAAGGAGGAGCTTGCACCAATCACTCATACAATTCACTTACCGTGCAACATGCTTTCGTGGAGAAGTTCTAGCATGAGATAAGTGAGGTTGTGCACTGGCCTGAGGGCTTTGGATTTGATGGTTGTTGTTGCTGTGATTGGTACCTTTGTCTTTGTCTTTGAAGCTCTTTAAACTACTCGTTTGTTTGGCACCCTCAACAATCCTGCACCAGTTGTCCAGGCTACGGAAAAATGAACACGATTTTAGCTCGAAGAGACAATGAGATGCACTTACAAAATGTTAAATATCAACTCCATTTAGAATCAGAAGGTTCGTCTTAAGGTTTGTATAAACACACATCCCGACCATTTTGTTCTTTGGTTATGATTGTCCTTGCAGCTTTTCTTTTAAGCGGTAGCTGTCTTTAACGGAAAAATCATCAGACATGAGAATCAAATGACAACCCGTGATTGCATGGGGATCGAGGTATTAGTTCTGGGATATTCTGAGGTCTCCCCCGAGCGTTTGCACTGGCTTGACCATACTAACTTACTTGATTAGCAGTAGCCCAAGAAAAGGCATTGCCTGGCTACTAGATCCTCTTATATCTGCACTAGCCTAAGCAGAAGCATTGACCATGAAAAGCAAATTGAAACGAGTGCGCGCACGATCCCCTTCGATCATGCTCATAAGCGAGCTTCTTGTGAGTTAACAATGTGAAACAAGTGCGTGCACATGAGGTGCAACTGGTGTAACTACTCACGAATTTCATACAAAGAACACCAGTTTCCGTAACCGATCAAGGTTATACTTGAGAAACTAGGTCATATACTCAAATTAGCTTCACGCAGAGACGATCATGCACAAGAGAATCACCTGTTTATCTATTCTCAGGCTCCGTATACAGTTCGAATGCAGGAATAGGGTTTAACATCGCCTAGGCTTTCACAGGAGTATTGCAAGTAGTCCAACTTAGCAGTAAAAGAAGCCATCTAACTGCCTCGTTAGGTTATGCTGCTCTCTATTTTATCACTCACAACTACCTCCGGGCTTATGTGAGGCAAGCATGCATGAGTAGAAGCAAATTCTGTATCTAATCCAGCTTTTCTGGCACGATGCGAATGCAACAATGATTTTGATCTCGAAGGTCAAGATACTGAAGCTAGAAATGATTATCATATTACAAGTTTTGTAGCAAACACGACCATACAGTTCCAAAGTCCCTTAATTCGTCCAATATCCAGCCTCAATGTCGAAACCTGAACAACTTTTTGTTCTTCAGACATGATTATTGCTAACCGTCCCATTACTGCAATGATTTCTTTAACTAAGAAACCATAATAAGTATTATAGTGCTTAGTGGGAAGGCTCCCATGTTTTGTATCAGCCATATCCCAAATTATAGAATTTGCAACAGACAAATTAAACAAATTGGAGGATTGAGTGAGCGCATCATGTCAGCACCTGACTTTGAAATTTCAAGTTCATACATCAGAAAGCTCTTATGACTACGATTATCCGAAAATTGAAGATATGCCTCGAAAGAACTTTCTGTACAGTTCTAAATTCAAGATAAGATCTGCCCCGTGAATCTGTCAACTTAAGGGAGGGACGCTAATCTAAGAGCACTCCTGCCTAAAAGCAAAATCACCTGTTAGAAAAAGCAGCTGCAGCGCTTGGACCTCCTCAGAAGTACGGCGCTTTCTCATTTGTTAATTACCGAGCCTGTACCAAAGTCACAGCAACTTGTAATCTCGATTCTCTGAATAATTCTGCCAAAACAGTGTAATGACTTCCTCGCTTGGGACACAAGGATATTCAACTCGCTATATGTCTATGACTGATGTTGTTATAATGGCAAGAGTAATAATGCTATGAGACAGTTAAAGATGATAGAGGGTGTTTTTCCAATGTCCGAATATCGTTATCTCCATGTCCATGATATGTTTAGGCTTTCAATAGCCCACTACATCTGCATGACATGTCATCTACTGATGGACTTTGTGATTGCTTATGTCAATGAACTGAATGGCAACTGAGGTGCTAAAGCAAATAAACCAAATATAGTGCAGACTGATGCACCAGACAAACGTACAGATAAATATGTCAACCTCTATAAACTAATCCAGGCAAAAGTATGTCCTGCTTAACAAATGCATGACTTCAGTAACTATAACATGGCCAGATGACATGTTAATGATACAACTATCTAGGTGTTCTCATCCACATGAAGAGAGAGATGCCAATGTTCATGACTTGATGGTGAATGGATGCATGGAACAGCTGCAAGATGCATCCTATGATCAGGCAGTTCGATTTTGTTGAGCATGAGAAACAGAGTACGTCCCCTTCAAGCTACTGATAAGTCATAGTCTGTGGAGCTCCATTGGCACCTGGAGCTGCAACAAGCTGGCTGGCATCCTTTCTTTTCCCAAATGGGTTCTTTGAGTATGTAATCGTGTGTCAAAGAAATGACAAGACAAGTCACAAAAAGCCATGATGATATAAAGAATAAATGTAAAACAACAGACATTATGTGTTCAATATGTGTTATCAGTAAAAGAGCACATAAAATGGAAGTTCAAAAATCACGATCTCGGTAACTGCTAAATTCAAAGCTAGACAGGAAATCAAGATGTCATTTAAGGTATACTGATGGATAAGCCTGCCAACTGCTCAAAACAGTCGAATTAACAATGACAGTAAACAGCCACACGAACACAACTCCAAACTAGAGTGTTGACTTAAAGGCTTGATATAATTGTTCAATCCATATGCTGCAAACTTTGGAGATAACACCCAATTCTAAAGACAGTTCCTAGGAGATAGTTCATCTGCATCAGTGTCTTTCTACATCCTCAGAATAAATTGAGCTAACAAAGTTCTATTAGTGCAACGAAGGTGAAAAAAAGAGAGGATGGCAAGAATAAACAACCCATTCACAATAGTAAGATCGCAAAAGGATATTGAATTCGCATGCCAACAGAACCAGAGCTCGAGATAACAGCACCCTGCAAACTGTGATGTACATTTGTGGCGCTATTAACATCCTGCCCAAACAAATGAATGAATTTGTTGCATGAGACATGATAAACAATGTTCTTAGCATCCAATGACGTGAAACTAGCATGGTAGCAGAATTCTTACTTCAAACTCAATGAAGCAAACCGTATGTCTTTCCTGCCTAAGGATCTTCATCTGCTTAAAACCAGGTTGCCTGTGTAACCAGATTCCAAATTGGTGAAAAATGAAGTTCCTCCAGCAGCCATGTCCTAAATAGGCAAGGGGAAGCATGAAAAGGTAAAACTTCTTACACAGAGAAAAGACCCCTGAGCTCTTCCTCGTTCACATTCTCCCCAAGATTCCCAATAAACAAGGTATTGCATGGGGGATTGTCTTTCATGTTCTGCAAAACCATCATAAGGAATATGTAGGCTTTCCAACAATTTACCAAACATGACAAAAGCCACACTTTAGATTGGTTGTAAAAAAAAACAAAAAGGAAACAAAAGAAATGCTTGATAAAAAAATACTGAGGCACATATAATGTTTTCCTACTCGTATTTTTTTCTTTTTCCACCACTTTGTTCTAGCATAAAAACCGAGATAATTAATCATCAGAAATACAGAAGTGCCCCTGCCCAATTCTATTAGTGACGGATTAGACTCAGAGAAAGAGAGAGAGATAAACAGACAAACAAGACTCATTGGTCGAGAGACAGGATGAGCACCATTAACCAGAATAATTAGTAATTTCCCAAGCTTCACAGGTAAAGCGAATAAGAATTGCTAATGACCCAAATGGCAAGGGGACATAAGCAAGGAATTATTTGTGCATGTTTTGTCAAAGTGGCAACTTGAAAAGGACCTTATAATATTTTTAAAAGGTCTACGAGCATACGTCTAGCTCAATATCCTTACAAAAAAAAGATGAGAGTAGAGACTCAAAAAGGTGTTGACAAAGTTTGCAAGGAGAACATCCTCATATCACGTCAACAGGATGGTCTGTGTACTAAACTAATGCATGCTCTATATTTACAATCAAGAAAATAATATCTGGCACAAGAAACCTATTAAACAAGGAAAAGTATCTAGCAAGTTGACATCATTTGAAGTGTAGTTAACTTATACAAGTGGAGCGAAAAAAATTCAATGACAACATACATAATGCAACTATTCAATTTCATGATCGGATCAACTTCAGCAGTACAGAAAAGAGGAAACCATTTCAACTTTGCAATTCATCAAAACCACTTCAATTATGTTGATAACAATACGATGCAAGCAAGCTTGATTAAGTTCTCATAAAAAATCATAATTTGAGGAAAAAAACCGAGTTGACATCTATATGAAAGATTAGCCATAGCAAACATTCACAAATGTCACAACTAAAGTAGAGTAATTCATCTCTACCTGTACAGGCACATAGTTGGTAGGTGCTGGAACAGGAGCAGGAGCAGGCATTGGCACCGCAGATACAGGATAAGCTGCATATGGATCATAAGGTGGAGGAGGAGGGGGAGCCATATACCTAAGATACATAAACAGCATCTGGTGAGAACACTGCTGCAGAAGGTGCTTCCTTATAGACAGCAGCGCAAGCCTCTTATAAACCATCCATTTAGTTCACTCTTTTTCCGTCCATGCAATTCCTTCCCATTATAAAACATAAGCACTGGCAAAAAGTATCTATTACCCATGTGGTCCCCAAACAGGTGCTGGAGGGGGGTGAAATGGAGAGGGACTGGCATAGCCAGCGTGGGTATAGTCACCACCAGTTCGCATGCGTTTACTTTGGTCGTAAACTCCAGAATCTGCCACAATTCCTGCATATAAATGGATATCAGAATCAAGAATTTCAGTTGCAGTTGTTGATCACACAACAATAATCAGCAGGGAGGGGAGGTAAGTAAGATATATTATTTAGAGGGCCAAATGTCTGACCCTTTTAATTTTTTTTCCATTCATTTAACCTTAAATACGCTTACCTACAGCCTTTGAATCAACTACAATAAATTCAATGTTTTAGGTAGAAAACAAGCTTGTTCGCATAGATGTTCATGCTTGGTGCTAATAGTCAAAAAACTACAAAGAGAATCAATTAATTAATTCTGTGGCTACCAATGACCAAGGTTTTTCGATGTTTGGCTTGGATTAATCTCTATTTAGAGTAAAACAGCCAGGTTGGAAAGGACTAGAAAACAACGAAGAGTTAATAATTAGTAAATGGCCCCCCTTTGGATGTTTCATATCCTTCAGCTCCATCGAAAGAATAATAAGGTCAACTAACATAAATCTAACCTTAAATAGGCTTACCTACAGCCTTTGATTCAACTACCACAAATTCGGTCTTTTAAATAGAAAACAAGCTTATTTGCATAGATGGTCATGCTTGGTGTTAATAGTCAAAAACTACAAAGAGAATCAATTAATTAATTCTTTTCGGCTACCAATGACCGAGGTTTTTTGACGTTTGGCTTGGATTAATCTCTATCTAGAGTAAAACAGACAGTAATCTGGCTTGGAAAGAATGAGAGAACAACGAAGAGTTAATAATTACTAAATGCCCCCCCTTTGGATGTTTCATATCCTTCAGCTCCATCGAAAGAATAATAACGTCAACTAAAGCCACAAAGGTGTTATCGGTACAAAAGAAGTTATCTCGCACAGAACCCAAACATAACGGCGAACATCTTTCCCTTCAAGTTCAACTAATGAGTGTCTCCTCTGACTAAATTGTTGACAGGGTTATCTATTTACTTATAAAATTTCTGAGCATCACTTGCCCCTTATAGGTTTTGTTTTAGCAAAAATTGGATCTCGAATTTAATGTCTGAGTGAGAAAGCTGGACAAAATAAAAATAACGATAGAGAAATACTTGAGTAATCATTAATTAAGACCGTCTCAGACAGCAATCTGAGACAGCATATATCAGCTCGAGATAGTAATCATAATATGGCATGCTAGAGCTCACCTCTCTTGACAAACAGATTCTTCTTGGCCATCTCGGTGTGTAAGACGGATTTTGACTCCGCATCGAAAACCATATCCTAACCACCCCGTGGACAAAATCAGTCCACGCACCCATAAAGGGAAAGAATGCCAAAATAACACACACAAAGAGGACACCCGGCAAATTATAATCAATCAGCACAATGCGCGATTCCACTTCCCACCTGCAGCGTGTCCTTAGCGGCAAGCGCGAGCTGAGCCGTCGAGAACAGCGCAAAACCCATAGGCTTTTCGCCTTTGAAGTTCACTTGCGACGCCTCGTAGCCGGGCAACCACCTGAGCAGATTCTGGAGCTCCCTCTCTTTGACATCGTCCGGGAGGCCGGTGATGAAGATCGTCCGGACCTAAACACATAGCATACACACACACCCAATCACTTCGCCAGCTCTTCTAGCAAAGGAGAAGCAGAGCTCGTAGATCAAAGGCCGTCAACAGAATTAAAGAGTCAATGCTGTCATATTGAGCTTTCAGATTTCACTGAGATCACCCCACAGCACAAGATCATAATCCTTAACAGCTGCTAACGTCGGACAAAAAGGATTCCGACTTCAAATTAGGGTTCGACTGCTTCCACTCAATCTCGAGCACCTCGATACACACGCATGGGCAAAAAGCTAAAGCACGCAGCGGCGAAAACGCGAAAACCGCAAAATCGCCAAGGAGAGAGAGAGAGAGAGAGAAGACCTCGTCGTGAGAAGCGATGGGAGAGGGGTGGGCGTGGGGCGGGGGAGGGGGAGCGGCGACGGCGGGCGCTGGGGCTGGGGGCGGAGCGGCGGCGGTGGCGGGGGCCCATTGCTGGTGGTAGGGGTGCATTCCAGCACCTGCCATATCCTCCCTCCCTCTCTCTCTCTCTCCGGCGAATTCCTTCCGATTTGCCGGCGAGATCGATGAGCTCCGCCGCTTTCCGATTCGGATTTGCACTCCAAGAAGCTCTGGAATTGGGGGAGGACGACGAATCTGTGCGCGTAGGGTACCATCGCCACCCCCATCGTCGCTCCTTTTTGCTCATAACCTTGTTTTTCCCGTGTTGCCCCTGGCGAACCGGACCGGTCTCCGACCAAGAAAAACCGGACCGGTCTCCGACCAAGAAAAACCGGACCGGTCCGGTCTGGGTGGCTTCCGAGGAATGAGAAGCTTTTCTTTTTTTCCACAATGGCAAACAAAATAGTGAAAGTAAGGAAAAGAATAGAGATCGTAGAGGTAGAGGGTATGTCCGTTTGGACTTATAAGCAAAATGTTTTTTTTTCATTCTTACCCTTCAAAATAAAATAAAAAATTATTCAAATTTCAAAATATTTATAAAAAAAAAAAGCGCTGTGAACCTTCCAAGAGTTTCAAATTTAAAAAAAATATATATGTGTGTTACTAGATTTTATTCATATAAAATATAAAAATCAGTACAGGCGTACTCACCTCAATTCAGTACAAAGAAAATCCACCACCCACCTCTCCCTCCCTAGAAAGACGGCCATAGTGATTCTCTGTCTACGGGATTTTATAGTTAATAACATACTTTCTTTTTTGAAATCTTAAATTATCGCGTACGTTCGAAAGTTATATTTCAGTTCATATATAAAAAGAAATATAAATATCGTGAGACCCCAAACGCACATCAATAAGTTCTCGTGCTTTAGCGCGCTATCTCTCTCTCTCTAAAATCCTATGTGATTCTCCTTCATTAAAATTTCCCAGGTTCATGTTTTTCCCGGGGAGTATGAATGGACAATTTGGCAGCATTGGACCTGTTCTGTCTTGAACCCTTAGGCTGCGTTTGGTTGTCCGGATTTCTAAATAGGATAGGACTGGATAGGATAGGATAAGAAATCCTGGGATTTCTTCATATCCTATCCACTGTTTGGTGGACTACGGATTTAAAGTCGGATAGGATAAAATTTTTTTTTTTTTTGCTATTCACGGATCCGGAGGAGTCGGTGAAGGAAAAAAAGCCGAGAAATTTTTTTGGTGAAAGCGCACAAGATGTGGGGATGAAGATGACGGCAAGTGGAGCGTAGGGTTTCTAGAAAAATAGGCATTAGAAATCCTATCCAGGTCTATCCCACCCCCTCTCTCGGATTTTTTTATCCGGGCTATATCCGGTCTATATCCGACCTTATCCTATCCTGGACCACCACCAAATACAGGATAGGATAAAACATATCCTATTATGGCTTTTATCCGGTCGACCAAACGCAGCCTTAAATCCTAAACAAGCCTCGATCCGGATTATAGCTATTTCGTACTGCTTTCTTCTGCCGAATCCAAATGTGGCCAAAATGGGATCTACTGAGATGAACATTAGCATTTCCAGACATACCAGGAATGCCCGTTCAGTAGTTACATGTGATGATTTCTTCCATTGCTAGACATTGGGATGGTAGATCTGATCATAGGATTTGTCTTAGCTATCAAGACAGATTTACACCGTGAAATGGTTTTTTCTAATTCAGCAGGCTTAATTTCGATGCTTGTTCCTTTGTCCATTTTCAAAATGATGAAATGCTGAGTAGCCTGGCCTCCATTGCCAGCAAGGGCTCAAAACAAGTAGTCGGAACTTTCAAAGAGATTGGCATAGCTTTGGCGTTCCTCGAAGACTAGTCATCGGATCGACATGAGATCTCGACATTTGTAATGTATCCCTCCTCCCAAAACGAGTATTTCATCGATTCATATCTGAGGAAGAAAGTCGAGAACATGAATACAGTTCTACTGGATATTATATAAGAAGGGCACAACAAACGACCATGGCACACTCTCAAACCCGGTAATGCTAAAAACTAGAAGATGAACGATAAGACTAGGGAGGGACACATGAAATGCTGTAGAAATCACGGTAACGCAACTACCGCCGCCGCTTCTGCAGTGATAGGAACAGAGCTTATCGCCACGGTAGCTTTATTCATCGGAGAATGGCCGCAACACCATGAGAGCATCATTTGAATTATAGATTCAGGAAGACAAATTCTTCAATGGCCGGGACTTCTCCGATTTTCTTGAGGGTCTCCTTACTTGGTTCTTCGTCCACACCAATTGCCATAATAGCATGTTTCCTACGCACGGTCCGACCCACGCTCATGAAGCTCACGTTGACATTATGTTCGCCGAGTATGTTCCCTACTCGGCCGATCATGCCCGGCTGGTCAACTTGCCTGCACAGGATAAGGTTCCCTTCCAAGCTCACATCGACCCCAAACGAGCCCACACAAGTAAGCCGAGGGATCCCATCCTTCACTTTCCCCTCGATGCTGATCTCTCCATTCTCGGTGACTGCACTGGCGAATTTAGATTCCACATTGGATATCTTCACTTGAATTGAGTCGACGGGAGACTCCGGCGAGGCGTCCACTCTCACCCGCTCCTCAACTATTCGGAGGCCCTTTTGCTTGGCCGTGTAGTCTGCATTGACCAGATTGATGTAAGAGGCCGATATCGGCTCGATGAGGCCCTTTGTGATCATTGCTCGAAGGAGTCTCGTGTCGAGATCATCCGTATCACGAGCCGATGTATAGACAACCCTAACAGATTGAATTCCTCCCCCTCCTGCCACTAACTGCACAACTAGCCGACCCAACTTCTCAGCTAGCACCACATAAGGAGCCAATTCTGTTAGAACCTGTGAACAGGACCGAGAGGTTAGCATCAATGAACAATATGTTACTGGAAGTGGGTGATTTAGGTGCAAGTAGTAGAAAATCTTACATCTGGGGGAACCATGGGAGCATTGACTGCAGTTGCAGCAAGTTCTCCATTCAATGCTCCAACAACGGCCTCTGCAATCTCAATAGCAACACCTTCCTGTACAATAGGGTAATGGATTAATTGAAGCAGCTATGTAGCCAGCGAAAATGTTCTGTGCTGTTTAAGTTTTCAAGTGTAAAGTTACCTGTGCTTCCTTTGTGCTTGCTCCCAGATGAGGTGTGACAGTAACATTAGGATGTTGCACCAACTTGCTGTCTGTTGGTGGGGGTTCCTTTGTGAAGACATCAAGTGCTGCCTGTTACAAGAACAAGAAGAAACAATCTTCACTGAGTCTGCAGAAACAACGTTAAAAACAGAGAGATAGCCTTTCAATTGAGGAAACAAATCAACGATTGGAACATGTCGTGTATTTTTTTCCTCACTTGTGCTAGCAAAAGAAAGCATCTGACCATCAATTCGGATTGGGGCCTAAGAGTTTAAAGAAAACAAGCAAATCTCCTTGACTACTTGCGCCCTCATAAATGAAGATATAAAGCAGATAATCCTTCCACATAACTGGATCAAGACTATCACAAGCGAAAGCGACTTGACTAAGAAGGAAAAGGAGAGCGCATGCACCTGAGCAACTATTCCGCTATCAAGAGCCCGGACTAGTGCATCCTCATCAATAACTCCTCCCCTGGCAACATTTACGATGCGAACTCCCTTCTTCATCTTCGAGAATGTGTTGTCGTTGAAAATCTTGGAAGTAGTAGGCGTGAGAGGCATGTGGAGAGAAAGGAAGTCTGCAGTAGCAATGGCTTGATCAAAAGATACCAATTCCACACCCATGGCTCGGGCTCTGTCAGCTGGCGCATACGGATCGTGCGCTATGACAGTCATTCCTAGACCCTTTGCGCGCCTCGCAACTTCTGATCCCACTTTACCGAATCCCATGACAGCTAACGTCTTTCCAACCAGAGAGACACCAACATACTTGCTTCTCTCCCATTTTCCTTGAGAAGATCACAATATTAGATTAGCAACATGGAAGTAGCAATCGAGTTCACCGTGCACTATTAAGGGAACAGATCAAAAAATCGAGGGAGGCAAGAATATCTGAGTCAAGGCATTCGCATTATCACGAGTCCAGAAAAAGCTAGCATTGTGAGTAATTCTGATAAACAATAGATACTGATAGCTGCTTTCTGCATCTTCACAAGTCCAGCCAGATATGAACGATGGTGCAGGTCAATTATTGGTGAATCAACTCCCAACCATCGAAAAAAAGTGAAATGTTGGGTCTGTTTTATCTTGTATATGCCAAAAGAAAGAGAGACATTTTACAACTTGAGGCTCTAACTCTCGGAAACAGTTTATGTGGGACAGAATCATTCGGCCATGGTTCCGTCACGAGGTTTGAAGGTAGTTTAGTCTACATTAAGAAACCGTCTCATTTAGCTCTTAAAAAGTCAAAATAAAAAACTAAACTTTTAATTAGTTTAAATTATGAAAAAATAGAATTTACCTTAAATTATGAAAAATTAAACACAACTCATACAACTGAGATGGATCAAGCTAATGAAACGCTACTTATGAAAACGAGTGATGCTTCTAACTCTACAAGAACTTCCCTAAGGTTGTCTTTCCTCAAGCTATGACAAGACTTCATTCTACTTTCCAAGTTGTCCCTTGCCGAAAGCAGCAACTGAGTTCTCACTTGCTGTTTCAAATTCTGTGATATACCATTTCAGTTCCTACCCTCTTCTTTCAAAGGTAAGAAATCTGTCAACCTAAGCAAGGTGGGCTTCTATGCTCTGCATCATAATAGACCCATGGCCCTTCTAGAACTCACAAGCAAACCTAACCAAAGAAAGATCACATTTTTTTTTACAACGTTGAAAACAAAAGACCATTAGAAATCAGATTACGTTGTCACTTTCCATAGATCCAACCACTTGCAGTCCTAGAAATATCTCCCGGTTGGTAGATCACACAAGTGAGATCCAAACCCATTATATTCAACCGATCTAGAACACCCACTAAAGTCCAAATGCTACCATAGCTTGATCTCCCATGTCTACGCTAGAGACAGCATCTGCAATATTTATAGCCTTCAATCATTCACAAGGGTACGCACCATGCACAGTTAGGCCAGGTGTGGAGCATGTGGAGGCCCCTACGAATGGGACGGTGCAGAAAAAAGCATTTAATATTATTTATTTTTTCCATTTAAATAGCAACTAGCATCCAATAGATATTTTTGTATTCATGATGCAACGTCAGATCTTCTGTACAAATATAGAATTCAAAGCGGCCACCACCACCACCACCACCACCACCAACCCCCAAGAAAGAAAATGTTCTTCTTTTTCCTTTTTTTTTGTTTTTGGGAGGGGTTGAATGAAGGAAGATGAATTCATGTACAAGTTCATCTAACACAATGAACACCATGGAGATTCGATGCTACAAAAGCTGTACAAAGTGTCTGATTGCACAAACGACCCGTTAAAAAGGGTTTTTGAGAGATTAATGATTTTTCGGGCCTTCATTTCCCCCATTAATTTGGAAGATTGAGAAAGAAGAAACTAATTTCGCTAATATGGAGCGATCATGAATTACTTACTCCCGAGTTGGCTCCACTTAATATTGTTTACCAACTTCAAAGAAAAACCCTTCACCTACCTCCAAAATAATCAAAATCTTCATATCCGAGCGAAATATCCCGACTTCTCTGACGAAGATATCACGAGTTTTACATCTGAAATTCTCTTGCACGGACCATTCAAGTTTGTGAATACTGCTAAGAAAATTCCAAAATGAAGTCGGGACCGGTCTAAGATGAGACTTTCCATCTTATGCGGAGATAGATTCGCATATGACTTTCTTTTAAAACCAATACAAAAGTGGACCTTTTTGCCCTATTCAATGAGTTTGAGGACTTGATTTCTCTCCTGTTTGCTTGGACTAAGCCAGAATTCTAATTACTCGTTTCATCAAGAAAAAAAAAATCTTTCATCATTTTAAATTAGTTTTCTAAGTGTCGGTATCTCTAAATTTCTCAAGATTTGGAGTACAAAATGCTAAAAACATGAAATTTAAAAGTAAGTTCTGAAAAAGGAAAAAAGGAAGCAATAATGACCAATCACGAGATAAGAAAAAGGAAAAGAAAACCTTTATCATTTTTTAATTAATTTTCCTTTTTCAGGCGCGTACCCGCTTTGATGGAGGCATCGGCCTGGGCCACATTGCGGGCCATGGCCGCGAGGAGGGCGATGCCGTGCTCGGCGGCGGCGACGGTGTTCGCGGTGGGGGCGTTGACGACCAGGCACCCGTGCTCGGTGGCCGCCTGCAGGTCCACATTGTCGATCCCGACCCCGGCCCGGCCCACCACCTTCAGCCGCCCCTTGGCCGCCTCGAACACCTGCCTCGTCACCTTCGTCCCGCTCCGCACGATCAGCGCGTCCACGTCCGAGATCTTCGCGCACAGCTCCTCCGGCGACAGGTCGTACAGGCACTCCACCCGCCCGTAGCCGCGCAGGACGTCCAGCCCCGCCTCTCCCAGCTTCTCGGAGACCAGGATCGTCGGCCCGTCCGCCGGGCCGGCCCCGCCCGGCTCGGCGCCGCTCCTCGATTTGGAGGACGCCGCCGACGACGTCTCCGTCGATTCGGCGGATTTGAGAGCATTGGCAACGATCGGAGAGCGGCGGGCGTGGCCGCAACGAGAGCGGGAGAGCTTCAAGGAGATCGGCGAGGCGGCGGCGGCGGCGGCGGAGAGGAAGGAGAGGAGCTTCGGCTTCGATTGATGGGAAGCAGGAGAAGGAGAGATTGAAGGTGGGAAGATGAATTTGGTGGAGGAAGAAGAAGCAGAAGCGGCGGCCATTGGAGAAACAGAGAGAGACAGAGAGCTTCTCTGTTTTTTTTTTTTTTTGTTTGTGTCGTTAGTGTTTATTTCAGATCTTACGATCTTGTTGGGAGCGTGGAAATCGTGAGATCTGGTCGGGTATTTATAAGGGAGGTCAACGAAATGGGCAAGTTTTTGGGTTTCAAACTCACATGCTTCTTGCGGTTATGGATAAACGACCAGGAGAGGTCGTGGCCTAATTTAGATTTTTGAGTTTTCGGCTAATGGTAATTTCTGTTCTATGCTTCTTATATTTTCTTTTTACTTTTTTGCAACCGTATGTTCAGAGAAAAATTAATTTCTTGCAAATTCTTCGACGTCTGATACCGGTCGACAGCCGACTACTCCCCGACCGCGCGTGACGATATCTCCGTCTTTTGCTCGTGGATGGTTCCTAGAGGAGGAGCAATCGACTCGAATGCTCGATGCTTACATCTGTGCTCGTGAGGCGAGCTTGACAAGAGAATGTGCTGACGTGATTATTCGAATTCAGGTCTTGAGCGGATGATATGAAAGACGGGGAGCGAAAATTATTTGTTTTGCACTTTTGTATTGACACGATGGTAAGAGGTGCACTTAGGGGTGAGGATGGTTTCAGGGTCGAATTGAGAATTAGAGAACGGTTTTAGGTTCTAGGATATACAAGCTAGGTTCCAGATTCCAAAAATTGGGAAACCAATTTCGACGGCTAGAACCTAGAATTTGGAACAAGTCTTTGTGTTTTTCTTGTTTAATGTCTCTACAAAATTCTGCGGTATTCCATAACGTCCGATGATGAGTGTGTAATTCGAAAACACTAATCTGAGTTTCCATTTCCGGCGATATCCATGACTGAGACTTTTGCTTTATTAATGTTTCATATTTTTGTGCGTCTCAATAAGAGTTGTGGTCAATGGATTGTAATAGCAAATGGTGATTACTAGAGGTGAATTCACTACAATCGTTCAATTAAGAATGCCGGTAAAACCTGAGTAGATCCTGGAAACTCAAGTGACAAAGTAAGTTCCAGATTCTAAAAATTTGAGAAATAATTCCGACGGGTAAGTTTCAGGTTCCAGTTGAAATCTAGATCGATCCGGAAACCATTCACCCGTAAGTGCACTCTAGCGAAGAGCATGAGACTAATGTAAAGAGAAAAGATAATTTATTAGTCTTTTTATCTTTTTTGGTTACTTCACTAGCATTATTAAGGGAAAATTGCACAATCAATCTAAAATCTATTGTACGAAAATCAATCAAGTAATAAATTTTTTTATTAAACCAATGTAATAAAAAACCTCAATAAAAAAAAAGTACAATCAAATCCTCTCGAACAAGTCTCATCGAATTTATCTAACGCAACAGTTTAGTTATTGCCAATAGTTCTACTTGTAAAAACGAAAGTTTGACTTGGATGAAACCACGCCATTTTTCTTCTATTTTTTTTCTAAATTTTTATTAACCTCTTTTTCTTTTTATTACTCATCCAAAGCTTTCTCAGCGCTCGTCTATCACTGTCCACTACCGCTTGGACCTCCGACGACCTCCATGGCCATGAACTACAACCTCGAACTATGACATCCTCAATTTGGACCAAGACGACCAAAGGTAAATGGTAATGGAATTGGCGAGCGATCCGACCCGAGGGTCGGTAATGGAACAGATAGTATGGTCGGAACGAGCGTACTGAGGGTTGGTCATAGCTCGATCGAAAGATTGTCCCTAGATTGGCCAAGGGATTGACAATGGAATGACTCCTCAATCACGCAAGTCAATTAAAGTGATCTGACCATGGATCGACCTTTCGACTATACAGGTCGTTAGTGGGACGGTCCGGGATGACCATGGCTCAGTGCCGTGCGGTCATGTGTCGGTCGCGGGTGATTCCTCTCGACCATGCATCGATCGCCGATGATCATGGATTGATCCCGTAGTACCTGATTCCACGCGGCTACATGACAACCGAGGGTCGATCATGGGTCGTTGATACTTGAACGTGAACCGGTTGCGAATCGATCATAGATCGACGCGTTAAGTTGAGTAGGCCATGAACGAGCCATGTGCCAGGCCAAGAGCCTTGTGGCTTAGTTGCGGACCAGGCCTTGTGCCAACCGCACAAGCCAGGCCTTATGCTCGGTCATGGACTGGCCCTTGTGCCGGTCAGCTAGGCCACGAACCGGCCCTGTGCCCGACCGCGTGCCAGTCATTGTGTCTGACCCTTGTACCAGGCTTTGTGCCCATCAGATCCAACTCCAACCTAGTTCCGTGCCAAACATACTTGGCCATGAGCCATGCATTGTGTCCGTCCATGAACCAATGCATGTGTTCGATCCATGAACTAGTCCCTCGCTCGTGTGGCCCGGCCTTGCACTTGGCACACCATCTGCGCAGCCCAGCCCCGTGCCCGTGCAGCCGGCCCAGTGCCCGTATGGCCTGGCCGTGTGCCCGTGTGGCCTGGCCATGCGCCTGGTCAGGCCCGACCGAATAGGCCATGCGCCTGGTCAGTCCGGCTAGTCCGACCTTGTACCATTCAACCTGGACTTTGGCTCGGTTATGTTTGGTCGTGCTTGGACATATTTCTACACCAAACCTCGATTCGAATAAGATGGTCGATCGTTTTTAGATACGTATATTCCCATTCACTTAGTTCACCTTTGCTAGTATCATAATGTATTTTGGAGGTTTGTGCTTAATGAAAAAGGTGAATCATAAGTTGGTTGTCCTTAGTGAATAATTGTGTGTTCTTAAAGGACAAGAACAAGTCTCACACGCCCCAAGCTTGGGGAACAAGAAGACCAAGTCAAACTTAGGTTAATAATTGAGGGCCAATCATTAGAGAAGATCTTATCTTCTAAGATACCCAATAATTGAGTGTTCTTGAGAGTTCTAGAGGAGCCACACGCCCAAGAAGCTTGGAGAATAAGAAGAATATGAGACCAAGTCAATGAAATTATTGGAGAAGCCATCATTTGAGGTTTAGGTGTCCTCTTAGTCATTAATGCGAAGGGTGATTCATATACCCTAAATATAGGGCATAATAACCCTAATGAGAGACTTGCATAGGGCAAGTAGGACACTTGTTAGCCAATTAGATCAATAATAATTAGGTCTAAGATTTGGCAAGATTTCCCTTCTATAATTAGGCGCCACCCTAATGTAAATGATTAGTCCATTTGGTAAGATCATCATTAGAATTTGGGCTATAAATAGGAGAGCCACCATTCTATTCCATTCTTTCCTTCAACAGGCACACACTCCTCACTCCTTTGGTCTTTCTCTCTTTCGGTCACTCCCTCGGTCTTTCTCTCGGCCACTCTCTCTCACTCGGCCTCACCATCATTGAACACCCTTTGTAGGATCACCCCGTGACCCTAGTAGTAAGTGAATTCCCTATCCTTTGGTTAGGATGTGGTGTTGCGTGATTGAGCTCGAGTGTTGACCTTGTTTGTAGTGATTTATGCTTGCATGTGTGATTGTTATTCTTGCATCATGGCCATGAGTCAAGACACAACGGGGTCACAAAAAGGGATATCGTATGGTCTCGTACCCATGTTGCGGCGTGACGGACCGAGTTTGGCTTGGTGCTGGTTTATATTGAAGCGTATAGACCCGGGCCAAGTTCGGCTCCAAGCTGGCATTCGGTATGGTGGACCGAGCCACGAGCCCTAGACCGCGCTCGACACGTTAGGCATTTGTCCTATAGATCATGAAACACATGAGCATGGCATGCCTTCAGGCTTGAATGCATGGGCTAACGTCAACAAGATGAGAACCAGGATTGTTTGATACTTGTTGCACGATCACACGAGGAACTAAAGCCGTCATCGATGGATTTTGGGACGTTGCCGCCACCGATGGATTTCGGGGCGATGCCGTCATCGATGGATTTCGAGACGATGCCACCTTCGATCTATTTCGAGGCGATGCCCAATGGATTTCGAATGCCTAGTGAATACCGAAAGAATCGATGGATTTCGGTTAAGAAATAATGAATCTCGTGTGTTGATCTTGTGTGCAACATTTAAATATCATGCTTGATGTTCTCTTGCTTGGTACCCATGACATGTTTAGCAAATAAGAAAGGTAAGAAGTATTTGCTATCGATCTACCATCGACAAGCAAAACAGTAATGTTTGATCTATTGTTCAATGGCGAGGCTATCTCTTAGCCGAAGTTTAGTGGATTTACTTACTACGTTGTGACTCACTCTTTATTATTTTCAGCTTTGTAGGTATGGCTACACCACCCCCGGTTCGCCAGGGTCTTCAAATAGAAATGCATGTTTCCATAATTGACATAGTTGATGTAGAAACGGAAGTCACATACCGTAAATGTGTTACCACGGTTTGGGTACAAGAGGATGCCAATGAGCTAGTTCCCCATCGTTACGAAGCATGGTTTATTTGGTTCGACTGAGATTTGCTCGGACCCCTTCCCGGATTTAGCGGACCACTTGGGGCCGCCAATGATAACGCGCCCAATGGGAATGCAGAAGGACTGTAGCTAGTCGACCGAGCTTGGGAAAAACTAACTTTTGCTTTTTGTGAAGGGAACCGTGGTAGTGGAGCTAGGACTACCCCAACCGCACGGATAGTATGTAGGAGACCGAATGCAATCCGGATGTAAATGAACAAAAGGCCTGTAGTGGAAAGGCTTGTAAGATAGCACGTATCATGTAAATAAGAAGTGTGCTTGTGAAATGTGTTTTCTTGCTCATGTTGTTGTTTGTTAAGTATAATTTCTTCCGCTTACCCATAACAAAAGAGAAACGAAATGGGACATCGTAATGAAAATCCCCGAAACAAAGATGATCATAACTGGGCCGGGACCGAGTGCCACGGTCTTGGTTCGGGGCTTGACACGAACTCCACGGTTGGGGGCGAGACAAATAGAGATAGAGAGACCCGTGATCTTTCTACAAATCACGGCCATGGAGGTTATCGGTCTTGCATGACCACATACCTCAATTCGCGTAAGGCGTAACCTCTGCTGGAGAGAAGTGACGACGGTTGCGACCTCCTGGCCACGAACGGCCTCTAACATATAAGCTTGCTAATCTCAGAATCCGATAAGCATTTGAACATTAGGTTTCTT